GCCTTCTTCGCCGTGTGCGACGGGCACGGGGGCCGGGAGGCGGCCCTCTTCGCCCGCGAGCACCTCTGGTCGTTCATCAAGCAGCAGAAGGGCTTCCGCTCCCGCGAGCCGGCCGCCGTGTGCGCGGCGCTGCGCAAGGGCTTCCTCGCCTGCCACCGGGCCATGTGGAAGAAGCTGCGTAAGTCTCGCGTCTCGGCTCGGGTGTGTGTGTGTGTGTGGGGGGGGAACGACTCCCTCCCGGGGACACCCCCCTCGTTACTCTGGGATCAAAGCCCCCCCCCAGGGCGGGGGGGCACAGGGTTGCGCCCCTGGCCCACTCCGGTTGAGGATCTTCCCCCAGAGGAGACCCAACCAGCCAAGCGAGATTTACCTACGTGCTGACTTCCCGTTCAGCATGGGATGGATCGGATCCCTTTTACTTGGGAGGAACACATGGGATGTAGGCTAAGGGGGCACAGCATGACAGCTATCCCCCCCCACCCCGCCGCTGGTCCTTAGTATTAGATAAGGGGTGTGTGTGTGCTGTTGGGATTATTGCTACACCATGCCCTTCTTTTCTTATCCTTTTTAAAAAGGATTTCTCTTGACTTGTTTTGTATTTGTTTCTTTGTCTTGCATCCCATTCCTTCACACACACACACCCCTGAAAAAAACATGAGAACCCAAGGTTGGAGGTCTAATTTTTTATTTTAAAGGAAAGTGTCAATCAGTTTTCAATCTTAAAAAAGAGAGAATGCCGTTGAAACCCTTTCCGAAACCACTTTGTAGATTGAATTCCAAAATGTGCCCCTAATTGAGTGAGTTTAGGATGCGGGGGGGGGGGGCTGATGCTGCACACTCATCTATGGAGGCTCGATTTGTGGATGAGTGTGTTTGGTAGACAACACCCTGCATACCATCCCATAACCTGCCTCTGTGGATTTTTGTTGTTCTTGCAGTATTCAGATGGGTAAAAGCAATCTGGCTTTAAAGATTTCTTGTGGGCAAGATCAGAATTGGTACAGTTCATTTGGAATTGTTTTTTTTTTAACTGTTGCAACATAAGAGACTTAAACTGAATCATGTCCAAACAAAAAAACCTTTATGTTTGAAGGCTGTTGCAACAGTGGTTGTCGTTCCGCCTCCTGTTAGAGTGATAGGCACAAGACAGACAGATCTGTAACTGTCTCTTCTGCTCTCAGAAACGAGTTCCACTAAATGAATTGAGAAGGCACAGCTCAGCTAGGTGTGTAGAGCCTCGAGGAGCAGGGGGTTCAGGTCCCCGCCGGGCTTCTTGGGAGAGGGGCTGGCTGGAAATAACCTGAGGTGTGTGTATCTGATGGGGTGATGTGTCCTCCTAACCCCTGTGCAGCTTTCAGCAAACTGGGTGGTCGTAGAGCACCCTCAGCAGGAAGGATAGCCAACCACTTGTGAGTACTTAATACCCCAAAATGCCTGAAGGATCGCCATAAACCAGAACAATTGCCATAAGTCAGAACCGACTGACGTCACATGATCACTGTGAAATTAGTTGGGAGCAGAGGGCATTATCTATACCATTGGTGCACTGTAGCTCAGTATTGGCTACTCTGATCATCAGCAATGGTTCTTCTAAGGTACATGCATGGAAGGATCTTTCCCATCACCTATCAGTGGGGGCTGATGGGGAGTAAACTTGGGATCTTCTGCATGTAAGGCAGATGGTTTGATTCTGATCTATGTTCCTTTATCCAAGAAACCCAGTGGCTTACTCTCAAATTAAATGTGTGCAGAATGAGGGTCTTACTTAGGTACTTTCAAGTACAACGTAAGTCCACTTGAAACACGTATATCCAGTTGGAGCCTCCTTTTATACATCATTGTTTACCCATGTGATTATGGATTTATGCCTGGATTGATTGCCCTAAGTTGGATTCAGCAAGAGGGCATAGAATAGTAATTAGCTGGAAAGGAATTTGGAATGACTTGCATGTCAATTAGCTGGCTGGCTAGCTCAATGGTTTAGGTATATCTGTCTGCAAAGCCAGAGGTTGGGAATTTGATTCTCCACTGGGTTACCCAAGGTTGGAAACCACTGTCTACGCCAGCTTAGCATGGTGAAAACCTGGTGCGGGGCATAAACTACAGTGTGAAAGCCTTAGTGTGTTTTCCTACCTTGGTGGGGAGTTGAATTAAGTGGCCCTGAGGACCCCTTCCCATTTTACGATTCTATGATTCCATTAATTCTTTGAATTAAAAACAAGACCCGTTTATGAGAATAGCCTTATTTGTAATTGTCCGTCAACCTTGCCAAAGAACACTTGGGCATGTTTGGTGTTTGAAAACAATTTGTACATCTCGTATCGTCCGGGCGATGGTGCCTTTTCTCCTTCCTCCGCCGGGTCTTCGCTCCCTCCCTATCCTGGCCTCCCACTCGCTTTTTGTAAAAATAGGGTAAGTGCAAAATTAGCTGCAAGCTTTTCTAGCAGACAAACAGGCCTGGATTGAATTAGGGGTGGGAGGAGAAGTGGCCAACATATGCCTTGTGAGCATGCATGCAGGCTCGTAAGAAAGAAAGAAAAACATGTGGGGCGTTCAGAGTTGAGATTTCTTTCCTTCATGCTGTGCATAGTAATTTGGGGTCCCAAGTATTTGCCGAGGGGTGCTGATTTAAGAGGGGTACGTGCTTCCCTCCTGCTCCTTTCCTGATTGTTTTCTAGGATCAGGGCGAGCGCCAGGTTGAGAAATCTCCCTGTGCCACTGGTCCCCAATCTTGGATTCCCCAGATGTTCTTGGACTACAACTCCCAGAAATTCTGGCCAGCCCAGCTAGGGGTGAAGGCTTCTGGGAGTTGTAGTTCAAGAACATCTGGGGACTCCAGATTGGGAACCATGGGGCTGGACATTACATGTTACTCTTACTTTGTTTCTTGTTAGTCAGTTTAACTTGCTGACGCCACATTGGGTGCTCCCAACACAGAGCTAAACAGGCAGATGTCATCGGCATGCATAGAAAAAGCACGAATCCTTTCTGCTTTGAGGGAAGACAAGATCCCGGGCAAGATCAGACGCCACATGACACGGTTACCTTGCTGAAGCTCAGCAGGCCTGCTTTTGGTTAGTTTCCAGATGGGAGACCTCGTTAGGTGCCTCTCCCACTCCACATGCTGTCTGAGTACAGAGTGACGTGGGATGTTATTGAAGAACAACTCCTGCCAGTCTCCGATTGCATGGTTGGGGATGGTGGGACTTGTAGTCAAACCTTCGTAGAGGGGCCCTGTTGGCGCATCTCTTCATTGCTTCCTGTTCTTTGGTCGGTCCACCTGTTGTGTTGCTCCTTCGACAGGTGACAGTGTCTTGGCATGGGATTGCCTTTGTAGGAGTTATATGACCGGCAAGCCCTGGCATGTTTAGGCAAACGTAGATCTTGGCATCGTTCAGCGGGATTTGCACCTAGGTAAGCGTGGAGAGGATTGCAGCCTCTTTACCAGAGAATAATCTGGAAAGGTCACAGTTCAGAAATCTGCATCGGTTGCTGATGCTTTTATCAAACGAAATGGGGAGTTGCAAGATAAAAGTTTTAGCACAGTTTTCCAACTGTTGGTCTAGCCTGGAATTAGACCTTCGTATGGAAGAATTGGTTTGCTTTGATCCAGGAGAAAAGATTGCCCGGTTTTGCTTTCAGCGAAGATTCGCTGACAAGACTGTGTTCTTCTCTACATACTGTTTACGTCTCCTGATCATCTCTGAGAAAGGCAAGTTGCAAATGAGAAAGACTAGATTACAAGTTGCATTTTGATGGCTCTCTGTTTCGTACATGAAACACATCTATGTCCGTGAAGCTGAGTTTGTTTATTTTTTTGAAAATACTCCTGGTTTAAAAACAAGACTGCAGAGGTCAACTTGGAGAGGAAATGGGCAAAGTAACTATAGGGAGACCCCACATTGATTTCAAACCCCTCTCCCCCGGGGCAGATGATGAAAAACATGGATGTATTGAACGCTATACTGTACATTGCATTCTCTGTAGTGGCCAGTTCTGATAACAACACCCTGGAACTATGTATAAATATACCTACCATATTTTTCGCACCATAAGACACACTTTTTTCCCCACAAAACAGGGGGGTGGAAAGTCTGTGCGTCTTATGGAGCGAAGAAAACAGATTATATTTTCCTGTTTTCTTCTCCTAAAAAAATTGGTGCGTCTTATGGAAAGGTGCGTCTTATGGAGCGAAAAATACGGTATTTTGGTGGGGGGGAGGTATTCTTTGCAGGCAGCAGATAAGTGAATCAGTGGATACTGATCCCACGGATAGGGGGTCCTGCTGTATGTAAAAGCTTTTCTAGATGGGAGCCTGGACATAATTCTAACTTGTCCAAGGTGATCTGATGTCCCTGAATCTGATTTGCATCTTAGCTGTGTCTTTCCATAAAGAAAGACACCCTCAGTTAAACTTTGTCTGTTCCTCTTCCTTCTCTGCAGCAGAGTGGCCAAAGACGATGACGGGGCTACCGAGCACGTCGGGGACCACCGCCAGTGTGGTAATCATCCGGGGCTCAAAGATGTACGTGGCTCACGTCGGGGACTCAGGGGTCGTGTTTGGAGTTCAAGATGACCCCAAAGATGACTTCATCCGGGCCGTGGAGGTCACCCAGGATCACAAACCCGAACTTCCGAGGGAGAGGCAACGGATCGAAGGTCTCGGAGGCAGGTAAGGAAAGCCTTGCGACCCCCTTTTGATGCTCTTAGGTAGGAAGAGCTGTTGCAGGAAATTCCCTGGTGTCACATCCTTAAAATGTTGTTCTTTGCTAACAGAGATCCTGTTTTAGTTGCTCTCTGGAAGCCGTATTTGTAGCAAAACGGGGTGAAGAACATTTAAGCGAAATTCAAGGAGGTAAACGGAGAGAACAACAAAAAGTGGCCTTCCGTTGACTGTTGGCCATGTTGTCTGAGGCTGACGGGAAGGGTATCTTAAAACTTCTGTAAAATGAGGGTGATTATGTGTATTTGCAATCTGGCTATCTACAGGGCTGCTCACATCCTGCCTGAAAGCAAACGGCTAACCCCGAAAATTACAAACCTTTTAGATCACAAACTAGGTTGAGAAGTGCTGGATTATAGGATGGGAGTGCAGGACTGTGTTCGGGATAATGAATGCATTTAGGAGCTTAGAAAGGTTGCGGAGTTTCATAAATATTAGATTGTATATTAATGATATCAGGACGGAATGAGATGTGGAGGGAGAAGGAGTAGGTGGGGGGCATCCTGCTGAACCACAGAGTCCCCGTTGTTTGGGGGGAGGGAAACGGGTCAATCAGAAGGAGGTTTCATCAACATGGTGCTCATGACATGTTCTAAACATGCATTTGGGAGGAGAAGAGCCCATTCCGACTTTGTATTTGCGATTCGCACTTTTTATAAACTGCTCTATGCAGAGATATACAAGCATGTGTTTTCAAACATTTGTTGCTTAATAATCCAGGGCAACTTCAGTGTTCACGGGGGGAAAAAAATATTTTCAAATATTTACGCTGTAATCAGGGTGGATTTTATTTAAATCACAATTTAAATCAAGATATTTATTTATTTAAACCAGATTTTTGGACAATTTAAATCAAGAAATCGATGCTTTGATTTAAATTGACTTGTTTAAAATTTTTTATCCATTTGATTTTTAAAATATTGTTGATTTTTATCCTCCTGGCTCTGTTACTCTCTACCCGCTTAACCTGGGGGAAAGCCCCGTTTTACTGAAGGATTAAGCACGTTGCCCACATCCTTTTTTTCCCCCCTTTTTCGGGGTGTGCATTTGTTTTGTTTTAGTCAAGGGAGGCAAAGCGAAAACATCATGAAATGAGAGCAAACGCGTCCATTTCATGAGAACATCTGGAAGCTTTAATAGTAGAATGGTGGGGCTAGAACAGACTTTGTTCTGATCCGAATTTATGATCCGCTTTGACTTTTCGTTATTATGTAGCATTTCCATGCACACACACACACACCGAAATTGGGTAGGCAAAGGTGTGAGAAAGGCATGAAGTCTTAATTTCCTTGCTGTCATAGTGACGAGGAGAACTTTGTGGTTGCCGTACGCTGTTTCTACTTCCTCCCACGGAGCAGGGCCAGCTCTGTGCTACAGGAAGGGGGTTCAAAATCCAAAACACCCCGCTCCCCTATGGCTGTCAATGATCATCTCCCCTTCTTTCTCCTTGCCCTTCGCTGCTGGTTATCATCTCAGTCAAACCGATCAACTAAAACAATTACAGTAGTTGAGCAAATGTTAAATAATCTATGACGACATGTTAAATTAATTAGGATCTGTTAACTGATCGTGTTAATTGTGTTCATCCCTAAAGGGATTAAATTCACTAAATCAGGCGAATTGTTTGAAATAATTAAGTGTCTTATGAGCTGCGGAAATATTTCCTTTTTCTTAACGGCCTTCCTTTTGTTTCCTTTCCCCTTTCCATCCGTTTATGTCGCTCTCCCTTTGCCACAATTGTTTCAGCGTGATCAATAAATCTGGTGTGAATCGGGTTGTGTGGAAAAGACCTCGCCTGACCCACAACGGCCCCGTGCGGCGGAGCACCGTCATCGATCAGATTCCGTTCCTGGCCGTGGCCCGTGCCCTTGGTAAGTAGCCGTGGACGACACAATGATGTTTTCAGCCTATTCTTTTTATTTTTTTTAAAGTCCTGCTGTCTTGCAAAACCTTTCTCTGAGTGCTTCGTGAGTCGATAAACGGAATACATTGGATGGCATCGTCCGGTACCCTGAATTCGCCACTTCCGGCCGGAGCTAGAGGGGAGCCCCAGCTGTTTCTGCCCCCCCAACGCCCGCCCCTCCTGCTTCTCGGACGCAGGTGGCAAAAAGCTCCCTCCTTTCGGGAGAAGAGGCCGGGCGGTGCTTTGGGTGGATGGCCGGGTTCCTGATGGGGCCGCCTTCGCTGGTGGTTCCCTCTCGGGATCGGTCCTCAATCCGGAAGGGGGGGGCTGTGGCCACCCGCCGCTCTGCCACGCCGGGCACGGCCTTCTTCTTCTTCTTCTTCTGAGACGTGGTCTGTTCTGATTGAGTGGCTTCCTGCGACAGCCAGGCCAGACCGGCTTCCCTTCAGGGCCTCCTGGAGACCCTGAAACAGACCGAGCTTTCTTATTCGGAGTCCAATTGTTGGTTTCCGTCCACCCCAAAGTCCATTTTGTTTGTTATGTTAATAGCCTACCTTTTCTAGAAGAGGCTCAAGATGTGGCGTACAGGGCTGTGTAACTCCCCCTTTTCACACTCCCACAGTAACCCTGCGAGGTAGGCCAGCCCAAGAAAATGCGGCTGGCCCAAGACCACCCATTGAGCTTCACGGCTGAGTGGGGATTTGAACACGAGTCTCTCGAGCTGCGCTGGCCGGGGTTTTGGGGAGCTGCCGTCCAAGAACCCCTGAGTGACCCAAGGTGGTAAACACTGGTAAACACATTGAAAGCAGACCAGAAAAAAGCAGGGGATGGGTCCACATTAAAATCTCTGCTGCGTGTCCTCCAACCTTTACTGGTGCTTTGGGTTTTCGGAACGGAAGAGAAAAAGTTGTTTTTTTTCTCCTCCTTTGCCCACATTATATGCTCGTCTTTTCCCCTGCCAGAGAGACCCGACGAGGGGGTCCCTACGTCAAATCAAGCCTTGAGGCAAAAACGTTGTCACTGAGGGCTGTCCAACTTCGGGCGCATCATGAGAAGTCAGTCATGCTGGGAAAGGTGGAAACCAGCAGGAAAAGAGGAAGGCCAAACGCAAGATGGACGGACTCCTTCAAAGAACCCACAGGCTTGCGTTTGCAAGACCTGAGCAGGGCAGTTGAGGAGAGGCCATTCATTCATGTGACTTTGATGGCACCTGACAATATAATAACAACCATTTCCCCCTTCTCTAGGGTCAAATGATCCTCCTCACGGGGGGGGCGGGGGTCCGGAGTAATATTGCACACTTGGGTTTTTGTCTGGGGGAGATGCTTTTAAAGGGGAAGTGCAGGCAGCGGCAAGTCTGAAAACAGCAAAGCAAGCTTCGGCCGAGCACGATACAGAAATCTAGTTGTCGGGAGCGCAAAAGGCAAAAAAATGGGTCTCTCCCCCCCCCCCCCTTTATGCCTATTGTAAGGAAATGAAAGCCAGATGGAGCGCAGCAGATGGTTCGTATTTTAATTATACACTCTGCTGAGTTAACTTAACCCTTCCGTCCTCCCAGTTTGCCGCCGTGTCTGAGAAACGGAGGGCGGTCTGAGAATTAATGAATTCCCCCCCCCCGGGTTATGGTCACCGCCTCTCGTTCCCAATTAATGCGAAGACGAACTGGGCTCCCACCCGTGTTGTCTCATCAGGAATGCTGCTTCCTGAAAAGTGAGCAAGGTGTTGGGTGTTTGGCATGACAGTCCCCCTCCCCTTGTGGTGTGCCCTTGAAAAGGGCTGGGTGGGAGACGGTGTGTGTGTGTGTTGGCCGTGCCACGTATTTGTAATAAATTGCAAGTATTGGTATCTATGGAAATCTCTATGGGACTGAAACTATGTGTGTGTTTCTGTGCTCCCATTTTACAGACGGGAGGCATGAGGCTAAGCAATAGTAGCTTGTGTAAGCTCAGTGGGGGGATGCTAATAAGAGCCCCAATCTTTTTCCTACATTTTGACTCCTGGAAAATGGAATATTATGGACATTATTTCTGGAACCGCGTAGAAAGTGGCGATTTTTAAGAATCCTGGAAGTTTCTGCCATTTCCGGGTTAATTATTTTTCCTACCCATGGTTCTTTCTCAGGCTGGTTCATCAGTTGGTGTATTTGGGTCTTGTTGCAAACAGGAAATAAGAAATTGGCTGGTTTTGTAGGATGTGTGTAGGTTCCCTCTCTGACTCCACATACTTAGCCGTTTGAGACCTTCATCTTACAGAGATGATGAACCCATCTCTGTGTTTCATGTCTAGAACCTTGTAGATAGAATGGATGTTCCTTTGAATCCCTGGAGAAATCTAGGCTGTCAGGGAGATGTGTGGGTGAGAACCCTTTGATGCTAGTTTTCCGTGGGAAGGGAATTGTGGTTTTTGGGGAGGGGGCAGTAGGGATTTCACCCATGGGAGCCTGTGCTGGAGAGGATATTACTCAGACCCAGGATGGCCTTCTGAGCAAGAACGAAGCCACAGCTGAAACGTTCGTCGTCCTGGCCCACTCCCAGACTCCCTGTGTATCCAAAACAGATTTTCTGCTCGCGTATTGATTTCTCGATCTGTTGCTCATCCGTTTCTTCCACATGCACACTGTTGCTCCCCAGCCTCCCCCTCTGCTTTTCCCCCATTGTTGGAAACAAATGCCCGATGAAACAAACACCGTGACATAATCGGAAACAGAAAGAGCCGCGGCTGTTTCGGTGCGCAAAGCCAGGCCTGCGCGGCCTCGGCTTAAATCTGTGGTGTTCCCTTTTGCACACCTGTGGATCTGTTTACGTTGCCAAAAATCTCTTCCATCCCTTCTTTTCTCCTCCCTTTCTTCCTCTTCCAGGGGCCTCTCGGGCTTAGATTGTGTGACATTTTCTTCTTTAATAGAAGAGAGAGAGAGAGAGATTCCCATCTCGGCTTCTTTTGCCAAGAGTTCATTATTCTCAGCACAGTCCTCTTTCCTTCAGACCGTGATTTCTCATCCTTGTTACCGTATTTTTCCATGTATAAGATGCCCCCATGTATAAGACGCCCCCCAGTTTTCTAATCCAAAATTAAGAAATCTAAGTGGGGCTTAGCAAGTGTAGGGGGAAAGGGATCAAAGTGCTGCAGGATCGCTTCGATCCCTGCTTTCCCCTCCCCTTGTTTTTGTTCTCTCCTCAGCTTACTTCTGTGTATAAGAGGATCCTCAAATTTTAGTCTAAATATTTTAGACAGAAGTATAATCTTATACACGGAAAAATACGGTATGTTCCGTGAGAAATAAATTAGATGCTGTCTTTGCATCTCTCCCTCCTTCCTTGTTAACCTGAACAACAGCCCTGTAAAGTAAGCTAAAGCTGACGAAGAAAGGAAGAGCGACTGGCCTGAGAGATGTTTGGAACTTGAGCGTGCAAACAGTGAGAACATCTTGTCTTTCCCTTTACATGTCTGTTTCAACTTTGAGCTGTTGCTCTGCCATGCTAGATTTCTACATGCAGGGGGTGTTTTTTTAAAGGAAGAACATTTACATCTCAGATCCAAGGAGATCCTCTTGACAGCGGTTTCTGGTTAAACCTCGAAGGTGTGCGCTCACCGCCACAATGCCTTTATTGTCCCACTTTTCCATGAACTCGTCTGACCTGATAAATAATGAGCGCCGTGTGCTTTATGCCAGGGAAAGGTGAGGGGAAACGCCATCTGTTGACTGTGACCTGGGGAAAACACATAATGACATGTGTTCCTACGTGTTCCCGAAATGACAGCTTTGGTGATGCCCTCAATTTAGTGACAGGCGCTGGTTTACAGACATGGTGGCTGTTCTATTCCTAGACGGAGCCCAGCGTGCCAAAGTCGAAATGAGAATGGATCAAATTCTCGGCAGTCTGTCTGAAAAACCAAATCTGAACACGGTTGGCACTTGCTCCACTTAAAATCGGGCTGTGTCCCCGGTTACCCAAAATCTTCTTGCTTTTGGAAGTGTGGTGGATTGGCTCGGATAAGACCTTTTTGGGTGTGATCCGGTTACAGCTTTTGGGGCCTTTTCTCCCTTAGAACAAAATGAGTAAGTCAGAGGAGGAACACAATACCTGTATAGGAAAATCAGATGGTGTATGGTGGGGGAGCAGTGGACACAGATAAGTATTTTACCAGTACGCCCTCTCCAGTAACTCTAAAATAACTAATAAGAGGTCACCTGATTTAAGCTTGAAATAGCTAATATTTGCCTAGGGTTTGTTTTTTTTAAATGAAAATGTTTAAAGATAGGGTATTGCTGTTCCGGACCTACAACAAGCAAATTTGGCGAATTGCCCCAGATTGCTCCGATATTTCTCTGTAGACCAGTTTTAGATACTGTGCAGAGAGGCCGGTTTCTTAACTCTTTTATCCCTTGTCCTTTTGAGAGTGGCTGAATCAAAGAGTAGGGAAAAAGAGAGAACGGGTTGGCTCGTGCAGACCTGAGCAGTCAAAGGAAAGTAGGAGAGCAGTCAGAGCGGGCCTTTTTTGGTCCTTCCCTTCGCTGTTCGAGTTGAATCTTTGTGTGCAGTGATGTCCTTGTATGTCATGCTTTTGAAGGCTTAAGAAAGGGTCAGACTCTGTAGAACGACCCCTCCCAGTTCCTTCACGTGTGATCAATGGAAATCTCAGCTGCTCCCCTGTTTTCCAGGGTTGTGGGTCTCCACCTTGGGTCACCCAGGTGTTCTCTCGGACTGCAATTCCCAGAAGCCTTCACCACCAGGCTGTTCTGGCAGGGGGTTTCTGGGAGTTGCAGTCTGAGAACCTTTGGGTGACTCAAGGTGGGGGACCCCACTGGTCTCGGGGCTTTCCATTCTCTGCTGGTCCTGTTCTTCCGTCCAGAGCTGAAAGATAGTTGTGGTCCTGCACGTTCTCCCGATCTCTCTTTCTCTCTTTTTCCTTTTGCATTTCTGCTCTAGCGGGACTTGAGCACTCCCCCCATCCTCCCATGAAGAGCAATTAAACGTGTTCTTGGCAGCCTCCGCCTCCCCAGGCCGATGCCTTGCCAGCACATGGCAGGTGTCAGACTTCCTTGCAGGTGGATATGCTTACGAACCCTTCAGCCGCTCTACCAAACCACACCTCAATGGGGTTGTGTAACCTGTTCCACGTCAGTCATCCTAAGAGCAGACTCAGGCGGGGAGTGACCTCAACCATGTAGCTTCCAAAACAAAAGCAGGGGATGGGAATTCCTCTGTGTGTGTGTGTGTGTGTGTGATGGGACTGTGCCAGATACTGCGCTTTTAGATACAGATATAGACAAATAGAAGGGACGGGGTGGCGCTGCAGGTTAAACCGCAGAAGCCTTTGTGTGCTGCAGAGTCAGAAGACCAGCAGTCGTAAGATCGAATCCACGCAATGGAGGGAGCTCCCGTCGCCTGTCCCAGCTCCTCGCCAGCCTAGCTGTTTGAAAGTATGCAAATGCGAGTAGATAAATAGGTACCATCTCGGTGGGAAGGTAAACAGCATTCCGTGTCTAGTCGCGCTGGCCACGTGACAACAGAAACTGTCTTCGGACAAACGCTGGCTCTACGACTTGGCGACAGGCATGAGCACCGCACCCTAGAGTCGAACACGACTGACTAAAACGTCAAGGGGAACCTTTACCTTTACCTAGCTTGTTGGTGCCATCAACGCTCTATCCTTGGTAACGAGGGCCCTTTTTCTTTAAATAAAAGTCTGTGTGTCTCTCTTTGGCTTTGCTTTGACCCCCTTTCCCATCCAGGTGATCTGTGGAGCTACGATTTCTACAGCGGCGAATTTGTCGTGTCTCCTGAACCCGACACAAGCGTACACACCCTAGATCCTCAAAAGCACAAGTATATCATTCTGGGCAGTGATGGACTATGGAACATGATCCCACCGCAAGAAGCCATTTCCATGTGCCAAGACCATGAAGAGAAGAAATATTTTATGGTCAGTGTGAGTTCCAGGTCTCTCCTGAGAGTGAGGTCTTAGGGTGGGGTGGGGGGTGCGAGGGAGACGAACGGCAAGAATCCCTGTTTCCATCTTAGACTTCTATAAGTCTAAATTCACAGATGACCACTCGAAGAACCAGAGTCACATGTAAGTAACCTCTCTTTTTCCCTTCTTCTCCCTGCATGTATCACCCAAGGGAGAGCACCAGCAGTCTTTGGCCAAAATGTTGGTGAATCGGGCCCTGGGGCGATGGAGGCAGCGCATGCTCCGGGCGGACAACACCAGCGCCATCGTCATCAGCATCTCTTCGGGGCGAAGCCATCAGAGCAGCTCGGAAAGTGACGAGGAGCTGTGTTTCAACCTGGCCGAGGGCCCGTCGTACAGCAGCCCTGAAATGTGGATGATGACGCCTTCACGCTGTTCCACTCCCCCTGTCAAGGTAAGGGGGTGGGGAGGGAGAGGAATTGCCAGCTTGCATGAACTTTAAGCTGACATTAACAACCATCCGTTCCAGCGAAGACTGAGCAATACCCCGGAGAGATCGCTTGCAGTATCATCTGAGAAAGCAAAACAAGATTTTGAATTCTGCAAAGGCCCTTCCATAAAGTGAAAATGAGGATACAGGCAGAAAAGTGAAAATTTAGTTCTGGTGAGCTCACAAGAGCTGAAAGTAAACTAAAATTCCAGGATGGATCCTGCGAACCTGGAGAATGAGGTTCAGGCGTGCTGGCGTTCATCTCATGGACTTTTATCTCTAGGGCAATGGTTCCTAATAATAATTATAATTAGAATAATAGAAGCTTAATTAGCTCTCCAGGTACTTTCAGTTTTGGGTTCCCCCCCCCTTTTCATTTTGTGACTTTGAGTCAGTCTGTCAGTCTTGAACTCAGCCCTGAGCTACCTCATGGGCTTATCGTGAATCTACTTTGATTGATTGATTTTTTTTCTTTAGTAAATCTCAGGGCAATCCTAAACAATTGGGCAAAGAAGTCAACAAAACAGACCCCGCCCGTCCTTCCAAACTTGTCTACAGCACACAGATTAAGAGACAGCTCCTGTTTAAATCAGTAGGAAAAAAGTGCTTTAGGGTGTTTCTACTCGTTTTGGGGGACTGGGGAAACCCGGATGAGCTTCTGCCCCAGGGCCAGATCTACAGCTCCGTCTGCCCTCTTGTAACTTAAGGGACCACTGCAAGTGACTCAAAAGTTTGCCTTTAACAACTGGACAAAAGACGTTTTTCTTCCCAGCAGCTTCGTTTCCCACCTTAGCACAAAAGAGAAGCCGTCCATTTGTCATTAGTTTAAATGGTTTTATTAGGCTCGTGTAGCACATCTTTTGCCCATTGGACTGCTTTGTTTTTATCATCCAACGGGCAAAGTCCTTCACAATACAAAAGATCGTGCTTCCTCTTCCTCCTCCCCCCCCTTTTGTGTGTGTGTGTGTGTGTGTGTGTGTGTTTCGGCCGTTGTTGTCCAAACGGAGCCTTCTGGAAACCCTTTGTGCCATCCTGTTGTCGGAGGAGTGGCGGGGGAAATCGCACGCTGTGGGGCGCTTGGAAGCAGCTGGCAATTACCGCAACAGGCTCTGAATAGCTCTTGCTGCTTTGATGTTCCCTGGAGCTTTTCCACAGCGATCTTTGTGGCAAAATGGAAAAGATGAGACATTTAATGCTCTGTACAGATGCAGCTAATAAAGGAGGTGGTGGGCTTCCTTTCCCCTTCTCCCTCCCTCTTTTATTTCTTTTTTGTGCTCTTGCCCTCTTCCTTCCTTCCTTCCTTCCTTCCTCCATCCCTTCCTACCTTCATTCCTTCCTCTTGTCTTTATGTTCTAAATTTCTCTTCTCTTCTCTTTTTTCTTTCTTTCTTTTTTTGTTCTTTCTTTGTTTCCTAGACTTATTCTCCTTGCCAGTTCTCTTTCCCCCCCTCTTTTCAATGTCCATTGTCTCTCTTCCATTCATCATCATCATCATCATCATCATCATCATCATCATCATCATCTTCTTCTTCTTCTTCTTCTTCCTCTTCCTCTTCTTCTTCTTCTTCTTCTTCCTCTTCTTCTTCTTCTTCTTCTTCTTCTTCTTCTTCTTCTTCTTCTTCTTCTTCTTCTTCTTCTTCTTCTTTCTTCTTCTTCTTCCTCCTCTTCTTCTTCTTCTTCTTTTGCTCCCTCCTTTTCTCTTTGGCACTCTTCTCCCCGCCTCCTTTTTTAAAAGTATCTTCCAAAAAGTACATCCCCCTGAACAATATAGGAAGCTGTGCCTCTAAGCCCAAAGAGCCAGATTTTGACCCCCTGCCTTCCTCTTGTGCTTTAGAACCAAAGGATAAAGTCCGGAACAAAAGGGCTTAGAGCCAGAGGGTTGGCCTTTCCCAGTTTGGGACAGAGCAGAGGCTTCTGTTGGTTTTGCGCTCTGTGGACACTCCCTAACAAGTAGGGAGAGGAAAAAACCCGGAGCTTAGAGGCAGTCCACAGCTGATGATAGTCACCAGAGGTGATGCACTGGCGATGCTCAAGCTCTTTGCTTTCTTTGGGATAAGCACAGAAACCGAGTGGGCTATTAAAGAGTGACGGAGTGACCCGTCCTTCTCAAAGTCTGGCAAAGTTGTGTCTTTTGGACTTCAAATCCTCAAATCTCCGAGCCAAAATGATCAGTGGCTGTGGCTGATGGGGGGGATTTGGGATGTTGTCATCCAAAATAATAATAATTATTATTATAATAACAACAACAACTGCTTTTAGTCCCTTCCTTCCTGACCACTCCCATCTGCTCTTGCATGGAATTCAACAGGCACACATTTCACCTGTGTGGGGGATTTTCTGGTTTCTTAAATATATGCCGTCGCTTAAGTCTGGCGCTCTCTCTCTCTCTTGATTCTCAGCTCTGGTGTCTGTAGCTTGGAGGTAATATTTACAGGATTGTAGCATGGTACTGCAACCTGTTAACAAGTAACAATAGGTATTATCATCAGCCGTCAAGTCAATTCTGACTTATGGCCACCCTTTCTTACGGTTTTATAGGTAGAGCATCCTCAAGGGTGGTGATCCTTCCCTTCTTCCAGGGGCGCCCTGGGACTGTGCAGCTTGCCCAAGGCCACCCAGGCTGGCTCTCCTCGAAGGAGGAACAGAGGGGAATCGAACTCCCAATTTCGGCCTCTGCAGCCAGAGACCTAAACCCCTGAGCTATCCAGCCAGCTAAGCAACATGCTTAATCAAGAGGTCCCAAATTTGTCTCTGCCTTTAAGTCATTTCGTTTGCTTTATGCAAATAACAGGCTCTCTTAGCTTTAGCTCCCACCTTGCACTCGCCCTTCCTCCCCACCATGTAGAGCAGTGGTTCTTAACCTTTGTTAGGCTCTCTTAGCTTTAGCTCCCACCTTGCAGGAGCCCTTCCTCCCCACCATGTAGAGTCTAGGGCTGATAATCCTGGCTCGCCTTACAGGATTGTTGTGAGGCTTGCAGAATACTGAATGAAAAGGAAGGCATTTTGAGCTCCTGAAAGGCGCTGGACTAGCCTTCAGCACCTGGTACTTTCTGTGTATTTTGAATCCCATTTTCCTTGGTCAGTGCTTTTTAAAGGCCGATGGCAATCGTCCACCAAAACATGGCGGTTGTGCGTGTTCCAATAGTAGGTAAGCGTGTGTTGTGATCTGAGAACGTTTTCAGTAACCGGGTGCCTTCTGTCCTCCGCAGAGACCGTGTCTGTGGAGAAGGAGAGGCCAGAGGGCGCAAGGCAAGACGGGGGCAAGAAACAGGTGGGGCCTCGGATTGCTCAGAGTAATGATCCAGAGGCAGAACCCTTGACGGAGGTGCAGAGGAGAATAAACATCATAGCAATACAGCTTTGGGACCTCTGTGCATTTTTGGGGAGGGGTCAGGAAGGTGGGGTTGGTGGCTGTAAGCACTGGATGCTGGCTGTGGGTTCTGGGAGGGGGCGCCCCTTCTCTGAAAGCTAGGAGAATAAACATCATAGCAAGACAGCTTTGGGACCTCTGTGCATTTTTGGGGAGGGGTCAGGAAGGTGGGGTTGGCGGCTGTAAGCACTGGATGCTGGGAGGTGGCACCCCTTCTCTGAAAGCAGGAAGAGGTACATGCATGTCGAGTCGGAGGCTCGGGAAGAGGTACCCAGACGGATCCGGGGATGTGAGGCGCAAGCATGGAGCATGGTGGAAGCCCCACTGATCCCAAGGGAAGACTCCTTTTCATCTTGGAATTGTTGTAGATCACAAGCTGAATATGAGCCAACAGGTGTGATGCGGCTGCAAAACAGGCCAATCCTATTTTAGGATGCATTAACAGATGCTTAGTTTCCAAATCCTGTCAGGTACTAGTTCCCCTCTATTCAACACTGGTTGGATCTCATTTCGAGTACTGTGTCCAGTTCTGGACACCACACTTGAAGAAGGATGCCAACGAATTGGAACAAATTCAGAGGAAGGCAACAAGGATGATCCGGGGTGTGTGTGTGCTGGAAACCAAGCCTTATGAGGAAAGGCTGAAAGAACTGGGCATTGGTTCAGCATTCATTCTGTTGATACAGAGTCATGCTGAATAGCTGAGATGTTTCCACAATCGTGCTGGAAACCAAACCTTATGAGGAAAGGCTGAAAAAACTGGGCATTGGTTTAGCCTTGAGAAAAGAAGGCTGAAGGGAGATAGGATAGTACTCTTCAAATCCTTGAAACGTAGTCTACAGAGGATGGGCTGGATCTGTTGTCCTGGAATGAGCCACAAAGATATAGGGGGTCCAAGCAGAGCATAGAAAAGTTACTTTTTTGGATGAAAGCTCCCAAAAGCCCCCAACCAGCCGAGCTGTAATCCATCTCTAAGCCCTGAATGCTGGCTGTGGATTCTGGGCCTTGTAGCCTGCAAACCTAGTTCGTTTGAGCTCTCGGGATAAGTAACATTCTTTGGTCTCCTAAAGGAGGCCTAAACCCTGTAACGTAGGACAGGTATTATTATATCCCGGATTGTGTGCTTGTAGGGAAGGCTGATGCTCCGAAGTATCAGGTCAAAACCCACCTGGGAGTTTGGAATGGGGGAGAAAGTTGAACCAGGGTGTTGACATAGGACGCTGGTTCCCGACCTGATTTCCTCCAGACGTTCTCGGACTACAGCTCCCGGAAATCCTGGCCAGCACAGCTGGTGGTGAAGAGTTCTGGGAGTTTCAGTCCAAGAACATCTGGGCACCACCTACAGTGGTGTCGGATGCTGTTTCACCCCTAGGTCTTTTGGCCCACGATGCTTTAATGGGAACTGGGGGGGGGGAGGCCTCATGATTCACGTGGCTCGGTTCTCTGCCTCGAATCAGTTAATTCAAAATCTGAAGGACCTCGCCAGACAAGCTGGTTGGTTCTTTCGTGGAAATGCCCGTGAATGAGAAAGGGGAGATTTTGTTTCCCCCCCGTCCTGTCTTAACTTGGGTGGCTCTCAGAGAGCAGCTGAACTGGTCATACCGGACGATCTTAAGAGTATTTAATTTCGCCCAGTCTCCTCTCTCAAGGTCCAGACCATTGAGCGTAAGCGGGTTACAGTACAGTCGCTTTCTTTTTGTAGCTAGATCTAGAATCCTTTCCGTGCTCACGGGTGGGAGGGAAAGAATCCTGCACCGTTTAGTTGAGTCTCACGCGTATCTCAGGAGCCAGACTGGTGCGGTGGTTTCGGTATTAAATCAGCTCAGAAACCACAACTAGGGTCTTGCTTAGTGTGAAGCTCAGCAGAGGAAGCTACGGCCCGTTGCCTCTTCTCAGCCTAACCCCAAAAAATGCGATTAATACTGATGAATATAATTATGCATGAATAATAGTGCATTTAAAGTATAGAAGGAACAAGTGGGACCTCTAACGAAACGTTTCAGAGTAGAGACCCTATTGTGTATAATTTCCCATTATTGTGTATAATGTCCAGTCAGTCTTTGCTGGAATTTTACGTGTGTGTTTGTGTACCTTGTTTGGGGGGACACGTTCGCCCAAGTTTCAAGAACTGCAGTTCTGTGCTCCGGAGTGGTTGACCCTTCCCTTCTTCTGGGGGGCATTCCTGGGACTGTGCCCGTTTGCCCAAGGTCACGCAGGCTGGTTCTACTTGCAAGAGGCACGCCGGTGGGTGGGTGGGAATTGAACTTCCAGCCTCTCTCTCTCTGCAGCCAGAGACCTAGACCCCAGAGCTATCCGGCCAGCCTCTCTGTACTTATTGACATGGGAATCAGACCTCTTGAGACCGAGTGGGGCTTTCTCTCGGACTGTAGCTTTTTCCTTCTGCTAATAAACCTGTTCACCAAGCAACAGGGTTTGGGAGAGGTGGGTGAGAGAGAGGGAATAGGATTGAGTTATCCCGAAAGGGCGCATCGCTTGTCGGACCCCAGAGAAGGTGAGCTGCATCACCTGGCCTTTTTGCAATATATTTGGAAATGGCCCTCACCTTCCTCTCCGGTTGCACTCTTTTCCACCTTTGCTTTAAAGCCCAAGGTGGTCGCCCCAAGATACGGGAGGCTGAACTGCCCATTGCTGAAGCCACAGCAGGCAAGACACAAGCACTCTACGTTTCCTGCAAAGCCTGACAAGTCAGAGTTTGGGGAAGTTACGTTCTGGATTCCGGCTCCCAAAACTGCCGCCACTCAGCTAGCTTGCACCCGTTTGGGAACTATAATCCAAAAAGGGATATTTCCAAACTCTGCGAGGCAGCAAACAAAAGAGAGACAGATACAAATAAAAGAAAATAAAAAATTAAAAGATCCCCATGCTTGATAGAAACACCCCCAAGTTTTGATCTGTCGAAAGGAAACACATCTCAGATGGCCAAAAGCAACAGGAACAGCCCCTCCAAATTTTGTGGGTTTGGCGGACGCTGCTAAAAACAGATTGTCTTCTTAAAGAGAGGAATTTGGGGAACTGTAGATGTTTGGGCAGTGATGATGTGGACTTCCCTAAGAAGGAGCTGAAGACCTTGGAGGCTTCTGAAAATTCTTCACCCCAGCCTGATGTATAGAAGAGGAAATGGTCCTTCATGTGTCCTCGCTTCAACTTCTGTAGGGCTTCAAAGATCGGAACGATGACCTCTTCAAGGACCGTCCTTTATCATGTGCAATGTAGTAGTCAAGATGCCATACCACAATAGTCCAAAGATCAAAATTAAGACAGCCGGAAACCTGAGTTAGCTCTGAGTATATACAAACGTCTATCTGACAGACTTCATCTTTGTAAACCTGTTTTTTTGGACTTTGTCTTTCGAGAAGATATGCAATGCATTCTAGGTTTCTCTAGAAACAAAGTGAATGGTCAAACGTTGATGGTCCCGTGGCATCTTAAAGACTGACACATAGTATAAGCTTCTCTGCACCATACTCACTTCAGCAGCAGTGGTATCTAGGGCTTTCTCTGTACATAAAATATGCACCATTCGGGGGTGTGTGTGCAAATTGGTGGTAGTGAATTCTAGGGAAATTAAATGCAGATAGTACCTGTAGTGGCAATTTCATTGTTGACACTGCTCATGCATCCAACAGTGGCTGATGGTACGACACACCTGACGGTAAGTAAAACAAGCAACACATGTTGTGTGATGAAAAGAAAAACATCCTCATTTGGACCTGTAAAAACTGACAAGAAACTCCCTGATGAGTTTCCAAAGATCTGCTAATTTTGAAAGAGCTTCAGTATTTTCCCTTTTTTCCTTCTCTTGTCAGCTTGTTAACAAATGGTATCTCAACAGACATATACAGTAGGACACCTGTTTCTGTGGGATCAGTGTCCACGGTTTCACTTATAAACAATCTGAAAATAGTAAAAGAAAAAAATGAGAAATTTGTTTTCACATATATTACCATAATGAGTCACTAGAGGGAGCCAGAGACCATGCTGTGAATACGTGTTAGTGAAGAATACATAGCATGGTCACTTATGCCATCTAGTGGTTAGTTCTAGTAATGTGTGTGAAAATAATTTTTTTCTGCTTTTTTCCGTTTTACTGTATTTTGTGTGTGTGTATGGTTTGTTATTATGTGGCCTTTAGTATTCTCAGGGGCTTGGAACCAGTCCCCAGCAGATATGGGGGTCCTACTGTATTGCAGTCTCCCTTTGTGGCATCGCTTCATAATGGCTCTCATGGGAGTCAGTGACAGGAAGCGTATTGGCAAGCCGAAATATTAACCCCTTAAGTTAATATTATCTGTCCCATATCCCTTTGCTGCTTTGGACAAAGGTTGGTGATTCAAAAGATAAAAACCTCTTTCTCTTTTTGTATTCCATCAGGGTTTAGAAGAGGACCTCTGGCCGCAGCTGAGCTCACCCGAGACTGTCCCTTTACTCATGAGGAGCTCTGTCGTGTTGAACAAACCGCTTGAGCTGCCCGGCGAAGTGGCCCAGGGAAACCTACCTTTATTGGTAGCGTCTTCCAAGGAAGGAGCCCTGCGGGAGGAGAAGGGCGACAGACCCCTGGGACTGAGGGGACGTGAGTTGTGTACCCGAAGCCCACCGGGGACCCTCTCTCCTTCTAACTCTGGGAATGCGGGGACGGACCCAAAGTCTCTCAAGGTGCCTCTGAGCGAACCCTCCAAAACCCAGGAGTCGGAACGGATTCCGTCCGTGGCCAACTTCAAAAGGACTTTGGAGGAATCCAATTCGGGGCCAGTCGTCAAGAAACCCAGGCGTGGTTTGGCCCGGAATGTCGGGGTCCAGCCGGAAAGCTTGTCCCCAGCACCCCAGCATAAAAACCCGAAAAAGCTCGCCATGCGCCGTAGCCTACGAGGACAGAAGAAACTGGGGAACCCTTTGTTCCAGCCACCCAGAAAAGCCCTTTGTGTCTGCTGAGGAGGACGCCTTAACAAAGGCAGTTATTTTCAGTCTCCTTTTAAGTTACAAAATTTGGGTGCAGGTCATTTGGAAATGCAATTATTCGCTTTCTTGTACACTTTTTATTTTTTTTAATTTTTTTTTAATGTAGAAGACTTGTGGGTTGTTGTTTTGGTTTTTGTATCCAAACAGCTTTATTCCAACCTTATACTCGCTTGTAACATACCTGTGACTTTTTGTAGGCATTACTAGGACTGTAAAGCATACTCTGTTTAAAAAAAAAAGTGTATACATTCATATTCTTTCATGCCACTTTGGTCTCCCCACCTAAACTTTCCCTGGCATCATTGTTACAACAGGGCTAAAAAAAAAAAACCACACACACAATGCCACATTTTAATTTTGGACAGTGGGATTTTTGTGTCTAGGTTGGGAGGGGAGGCGGTTGGTTTAGTACAAAGTAATGAATTTGTATAAAAATTTCTTGTGGTGACCTCACAACTTTTTAAGAAAAGTAAATTATTGAACCGAATGGAAGATAATGTATTTTCGTAGTACTTAATACGTTTTGCTTGGAGTGTGCCCTATTAGAGTATATAATACTAGGTCTATTTTCTTTCTTTCTTAACTTTTAGATTTCTCTATTCAGAAATGAAATGTATACTGAAGAGATGCTGAGTCTTCACACAGCTAAATGCTGGTTTTCTGTATTTAATTAAAATACTATGCAGTACTTTTCTTGGTTGTATTTTTTCCCCATTTGATAAGATAAGGGAACAATATTTATTTCCATTATTCTTCAGTCCCAATTCTTAGGAGAGTTTATTAAAAAGGGTTATTTTTTAAATGCCCAATTCATAAATGCTACGCATTCTTTTAAAGGCAGAAGATTATTCTATTCTGCCAGTAGATGGCGCTCTTTATTAGATTTCTCCAGTCCTAGCACCCTCTGTCAGTCACCCTAGGTATTGTCAGGCTTTGTGATGACAGCGGGCACCTTAAGTTCAACACCAGGGAGTTACATGGACGGGGAAGGCTGCTCTTGCAGGCCAACTTTTTACCCAAAGTTCTTGAGCTATTTTTCTTTGCAAACGTGGCCCCTGGATACTTAGCAATGAAATAAAAATGAACAAAAGCTTTTTGGTTCCCTTCCTGATGATTATTTTGTTTCTTTTATTTGGTGAACACAAGAACCACAGCCCAGGGTGACAATCAGAAAGCAAGGACGCATTGTGAGCGATGCAACAATAATGGCACAAACTAATGGTAGAATGAGATCCCAGTGGGTATTTTTGGTTAGGACTCCATTCAAAGCATGGTCTCATGTGCCATCTAGTGGCCTGTTCTGGTAATTTTGCATCTCTAGTCATTTTATAGGGATGTATGTGGTGGTGGTGCGGGTTAAACCGCAGAAGCCTCTGTGCTGCTAAGTCAGAAGACCAGCCATCGTAAGATCGAATCCACAGGACGGAGTGAGCTCCCGTCGCTTGTCCCAGCTCCTGCCAACCTAGCAGTCTGAAAACATGTAAGAATGCAAGTAGATAAATAGGTACCACCACAGTGGGAATGTAACGGCGTTCTGTGTCTAGTCGTGCTGGCCATGTGACCACGGAAACTGTGTTCGGACAAATGCTGGCTCTACGGCTTGGAGATGGGTATGAGCACCGCGCCCTAGAGTCGGACACGACTGGACTAAATGTCAAGGGGAGCCTTTACCAGACATTTACCACGTTACGTATAGGAAAAGACTTCTGGGGGTTTTCTTTTAAGACAGCGGCTAAGTGAAACTGTGGATACTGATAATGCAGATATAGGGGTGCTGCTATCTACATAAATGTACAAGGGGCACATAGATTTTAAGAATAAATGTGTAGGAGGAATATAGACGTGATCTGTTGCACCAAATGAAGGAGGGTCACGGCTCCTTTAAGACTTCACCAGTTTTATTCGGTGGGTGTTTTCACATTTTTAAAAGAAAGGTCCAAAGTCATAGCTGAAGGAGACATCCAGCTCTTGCAAATGGACCGATGGCAAAAATTGCACAGGTATAGCTGGGGGTGAGCTGCACCTGACGAATTCCTGACTGGTGTTTGCAGCTCAACTACATTTTAAATCTCTCACTTGGCATTGCTTGGATGCAAAACTCTGCTTCTGTTTTAATTGACATGGTAATATGCAGTGGTGAGCTAGCAGGGCGGGGAACAGCCTCCTGAAATTAGGAAAATATTTCATAATGGGCCTGAAAAAAAATCCCCAAGTGATTTTACACCGGAAGCAAGTATTATAGTTGGAGAAGTCATTGCCGCTCTAGCATTTTCATCTTCATGGTTTATCTCGGCGTCCCTGGGAACGCTCTTCCGGGTTTTGCGCGCTGACGTCACGCGCGTCGCCTCCCTCCGCCTCCAAGGAAAAAAGGGAAACAAGATCTTGTCAACAGCGGTGGGTGTGGCTTAAGCAGACGAAGCCGATTGGCCCCGCTCATTTCGTTAGGGCAGGCCATGACCCGCCTTCCTCGGGCTCGAGGACTTTCCCCGCCCACCTTAGGGGCCCGGATGTAAACAAAGCGCCCCCACCCCCGATGGGCGTGTCCAACGTGTCACCCTTCCTCCTCTCCCTCTCATGCCTGGAGAAGTGGACTTGTTCCTCCGAAGCTCACCATAAAACACTGTACAGCAGTTCGTCTTCCAGGCGCCATAACGTCTTCGTCTCATTTGTTTGTTTGTTTATGTTTTGGTGCTGTTTGTTGCCACGCCTCCCCTCCTCTTGTTTCTCTGACGAGGACCGAGCTCTCTCAACCGAACTTGAATGGGGGGGGTTGCGATTGGGAAATAAGCAAACACTCCGAAGCGGCAGGCGCAGCCACCCCTAGCGTCCAATCCCCGGCGCCCCTCTTGCTCGGGGATTGGAGGAATTGGCCGGTCTGGTCCCGCCTCCCCCTTCCCTCTATTGGCTGGCGGCTCGGTGGCCGGCGAGAGGGTCCCAAACATTGCCAGCGAGGGGGTGAAAAAAAGCTAGAAAAAGGGAGGCGAGGTCCGTCCCGCGCCGGTAAGGAGCCCGGAGGGAGGGTGAGGGGAACAGCCCGGAGCGCGAGCGGTGGGCGGGGCTCCCGAGGAGGAGGAGGAGCGAGGGAGGGAGGAGGGGGGGATGCTGCTGCCCCAGAACAGCCAAGGCGAGCCAGCTTTTTTGATAATTCTCTGATACATCTCATTCTATTAAAAAAAACGATGACAGTTTCTAGTTCTTTACTTTTAATTTATAACAATGAGATATGTTGATCTAATTTATTTATTTAAAATATTTTTACCTCGCCTTTCTCCTTAAGAAGGACCCAAGGCGGTTTATAGCATGAAGGTTTTTTTGGGGGGAGGGGGCGGGGAAGGAGCTCTGGGAGGCTGTGAGGGGGAGACAAAAGTGAGGAGGAAGGTCAGCTGAGGAGGGGGACTGGGGAGGTGTTGAGCTGGCCCTCAGGGCACAGTTTTTGGGGGGAGCATTTGTGAGGGGAAGGGGAATTTGGGGCAGGGGTCGTGAGGTAAAAGCTTTGCCTGTAGAGAGCTATGGTGCCCCAACCCAGGTGTTCTTTAGACTACAATTCCCAGAAGCCTTCCCCACCAGCTGTTCTGGCTGGGTTTTTTTCTGGGAGTTGTAGTCCCGGGACATCTGGGTGAGCCCAGGTGGGCAACCCCTGCTGTCTAGGGGGTGCTTTAAGGGGGGAAAGTGTGGAGTCAAAGCAAGGGTGGGGAAAACTCTGGCTCTAGAGCAGGGGCTCCCAACCTTGGGCCACCCAGGTGGTCTGGGACTACAACTCCCAGAGATCCCAGCCAGCACAGCTGAAGGGAATTGTAACCAGGAACACCTGGGGGGGAGCCCAAGGTTGGGAGCCCTTGCCCTGCCTAGAGCAAACCTGAGGACTAACTTAGGACTTCTAAGGTCCAGTTGTAGTCCCGGGACATCTGGGTGAGCCCAGGTGGGCAACCCCTGCTGTCTAGGGGGTGCTTTAAGGGGGGAAAGTGTGGAGTCAAAGCAAGGGTGGGGAAAACTCTGGCTCTAGAGCAGGGGCTCCCAACCTTGGGCCACCCAGGTGGTCTGGGACTACAACTCCCAGAGACCCCAGCCATCACAGCTGAAGGGAATGGTAATCAGGAACACCTGGGGGGACAGGGTTGGGAGACCTTGCCCTGCCTAGAGCAAACTAGCTTAGGACTTCTAAGGTCTCACAGGTAGTAAACTGAGGAGGGTGATGGTTTTAAGCGCTGGGAGAGGGCCGAGGCTTCCTCGGTCATGGACTCAGTGGCAGTTTGTAGCCAAAGGTGTGTCTCTGTTTGTGCCTTCTGTGTTATGCCTGTAGTCATAGAAATATGGGTGTTTATCACTTGTATAAGGAGGCTGTATATGGGAGGGGGGACATGTGGTAGTTTAAAGCCTAGGTTCTTAACCTTTGTTACTCGGATGTTTTTGAACTGCAACTCCCAGAAACCCCAGCCAGCACAGTTGGTGATGAAGGCTTCTGGGAGTTGCAGTCCAAAACTCCTGAGTAACCCAAGGCTAAGAACCAGTGGTTTAAAGCAGACTCAGTGGCAGTTTGTAGCCAAAGGTGTGTGTCTGTTTGTGCCTTCTGTGTTAGTCCTGTAGTCATAGAAATATGGGTGTTTATCACTTGTATAAGGAGGCTGTATATGGGAGGGGGGGAAATGTGGTAGTTTAAAGGAGAGAGCATAGGTGGCGTAACTGTAAATTATGTGGCAGTAGGGTGAAGGAGTGTTTATGTAGAATAGATAATGTTTGTATTTATATGCACATGCCATTTATTTTTATTTTCAGTATATAGATACATACACACACAGGCCCCAAGGTTAAGAACCAGTGGTTTAAAGGAGAGAGCATAGGCGGTGTAACTGTAAATTATGTGGCAGTGGGGTGAAGGAGTGTTTATGTAGAATAGATAATGTTTGTATTTATATGCACATGCCATTTATTTTTATTTTCGGTATATAGATACATACACACACGAGCATACCGTGTTTCCCTGAAAATAAGGCAGGGTCTTATATTATTTTTTGCTCCAAAAAACACATTAGGGCTTATTTTCAGGGCATGTTTTTCTTTTTCATGTACAACAATCTACATTTATGCAAATACAGTCAGGACTTATTTTCGGGGAAACAGGGTAACTATAGATCCATATAAACACAAATGTTTTCCACCTCCTCTAATCTGCTTTTCTACTAATAGTGATTGGTGAGGCTAACTATACAGTGTATTGAACACCAATAAGTGTAACACTCAGAAACAATAGCAGTGTTTTTAGGCAGCGGTTACATCAGTGGATAATTCCTTTATAAATATCACAGTGGCATATTGAATAAAATACAAATAAACTAACCTAGGCTTATATTGGTAGTTTAGAGTTGACTCAGATTTAATTCAGCTGTGCTCCTACATGCGAATGAAAGACTTTGCCTGCTGAAATGTCCCCTTCTGTGCATTTTTTTTAACTTACAGGGATGTGGTTTTCTTTCTTGCCTGGTCAGCATAAGCAAGAGGCACCAAGTGTCACCAGTGTTTTTGTTTAAGTTTATGGCTGTATCCCACTGCCAGTCCTGTTGTTCATTTGAGGGTCAGGTGGAGTGGGGTTTAACTGCAGATCCTGTTGCCCCCTGCTGGTCAGTGTGCTGTGTGCATTTGAGTGGGCAGGTTTGTTTTGATCACATTCTTAGAACACCTTAAAATTATAAAAATAATGGGTGTTTGGCATTAAAGAAAAATTGAAATTTAACGGAATTTGGAGAGATGCAACTTCCTTTTCATGCTTGTTTTTTGCTTGTCTGGGAAAAAAGTATTACTGGAGAAAATGTGTGGTTGTGTATGTATGTAAGTGTAGCAGTCCCACACATATCTTTTCAAATGTGACTGTACTCTGAAATTTTTAGAAGCCCAGCTCACAGCATATACCCATGTGAGTAGTTTATGGTTTAAAACTAGAGTGGGGAATGTGTGGTCCCAGATATTGTTGGACTGTAGTTCTCATCAGCCCTGCCTAGTATGGCCTGTCGAGAAGGATGATGAAAAATTCAGTCAAATCACTTTAAGCAGGCCACACAGTCCTTATCCCTGACTTTATTTTTAAAGGGCAATCCAGTGTTTATGAAACTTCTCTGCCTTCTTCCTGGAAGTAGTTCTTATACAAAACTGCATCATTCTGCAGCCTCTTGTCCTCCAGACATGTTGAACTGTGATGCCCAACATTTTTCTAGCTGGTTACCCTATTGTGCTTAGGGAGTTCTGAGAACTGTAATCCAGGGTAGCTAGAAGGTTCAAGGTTGAGGAAAGCTGCAGTAGAGTGTGTGTGATGTAGGCCACTTAAAAGGCCAAATGTGCTCATGTGCGTGGAGGGAAGGTCCCCTCATTGAGTGGAAAACTACCAGATGTTCTATAAAAATAAAGTTAACAAAAATCTTCTTCTCCCTACAGGAATCTGTAGACCAGCAATGGCTGCTGAATCCCCCCGCCGACCGAGCCGATGTACTGGAGGAATCGTGGTTCGTCCGCAGGCTGTCACGTAAGTGTTTGAACACTGCTTTTGTAGATGCAGTCCTGAGCCATTTCATATGGAATTGCAAATGAAAGATGACATTTTAAGAGTGTGCCATCAACATCGCTAATACTGATATTTGCTGAAGATATTTCTGTTATGTCAACCCTTAGTGGGGTGGGGAATGTGTGGCCCTCCAGATGTTGGGCTCCCAGAATCCAAGCCAACATGGCCAGTACTTGGTGAGAGAGACTTGCATCATAGTCCAACAACATTTGGAAAATACCCTAGTCTCCTTCCAAAGTTTAATGCGTTCTCTAATTTATTGATAACTTGCAAGACATAACTTGCATTATAAATAATAGGTATGTAGTGGGAGAGTATTGTTCCTATTGGTGTATTCCTAATGAATCAGCTTTTAAACAGTCATTTGTCATCTCAGAAGCTGAGGAAGCCTATTATTCTGACTGCAGGTTTCATTTAGGTTTTTCGCAATTTGTTATCTTAAATAACATAAAGACTCTCCTAGCATCTTTGTAATAGGGTTTTGCACATTGCCAAATAAGATAAATACATTACGTGTTTCTTACTTAGATGAGGGACACCTTGCTTTGACTCAGACAAGCTCTCAGCCAAAATATAAGATGAGACATGTCTCGTGTGTGATCACAAAGTGTAATTTTTAAAAAAATCAGTTTTTCCATCTTGTGGACTTTAGTCAAACAGCAAGATGCAAAGCTAACAAATGATTTTTTAAAAAGGGTCATATGTATGAATATTTGCTCAGGATTGTCTAATGTTTACGCACTTATATTTGACCTTGATTGGGTCATATCAGCCTTTCTATTGATTAGGGGGTGTCTATATGCTTGTATGGACATGGTTGTCCCTGGGATATTTTTTACTGTGTGGCACTTTCAGGTGTATGAGCATTTAAAGTGAAGAAACTTAGTCTCTCCTGGAAATGTCACTGTCACTTTTTTGTGACCTTAATAAGTTGTATTTCAGTGTAGTTCAACTGTATTGGGGGATATGTACGGGCAATCATCTTTCTCAATTTCTTTTCCACTTTTCAGGGAACAGTCATATATGGAGAGTGTTGTTACATTTCTGCAAGATGTTGTACCACAGGTAAGCTTGAATTTTAAGAGCACTAAAGTCATGTTTGTTTTTGTTAAAATACATAGCCTGCTTCCCTGCCTTCTAACCAATATAGGGAATGGAACTGGTCTTAACATTTATACTATCAGTCCTGCTGTCTTGCTGTATTTTATTTGATATAATTTTTATTACTGTATTATTATTTAAATTGTTGTTTGTTTTATTTTTATCTTGATTTTATACCATTGTGTTTATTGTTTGGAATGGTGTATGTTTAGTATGTAAACTGCGCAGAGTGGCCTAGTAGGCAGATGGATGGTATAGAAGCCAAATAAAGAAATACGCACAGAGAGAGAGAGAGAGAGAGAAAGGTAGGATCAATGGCAATTTAAAATGCAGAAAAACACTGAGGAGTCTTGTCGTTCTAACAAAAGACTGTTTAGTCAACTATAGCTTTATGTTGTTGTTTTTTTAAAAAATGTATGATGGTTTTGATTGTTTGCCAGGGTTTTAAAAACATTCAACAGCAAACTCACGTTATGAGTGCGAATAAGGTCGTAGTCATAATGGAAGTCTGCTGGGAGGAATTCCAGATGCCACCCCCCAAAAAATATATAAGAAGTAGGTCTCAAATGCTACACCCCCCACAACTCTCAATAAGGACTGAGCATACTCACTAAGCATGAATTGTAAATTGTCTAATGGGAGGAGGATTGGAAAACTGGGCAGGAAACAGAGTAGCAGCTTTTGGTTAGAGTGGCTGGTTGTCTGGAACCCTATGTATTCCATTTAGAATAGAGGATATAGGTGTAACATTTTGTTGGAAGTCCCTTGTGATTTGTTGTCTTACAGATGTAAGTCATTCCATGGGTCTCTGTTAATGACTGCAAATTCAGTGTAGCGTCTCTGTTTCTTTATTAGTTTTTAGGAGAAATACTTTAAACTTTTTTCTCTTCCTCTTTCTTGTAGGCTTACAGTGGCACAACTCCAATAGAGGAAAAAGAGAAAATTGTATGGATTAGATTTGAAAATTCTGACTTGAATGGTATGTTTCTCTGCCCATTTGCAGGTTTGCTGACTTTGTTCTCACAGTATGAATATGTTTAAAAGTGCTAATTTTCACTTTACAACTCTGAAGGTTTTGGAATCTGTGTTGTCTGAAGGTCACTTTCTGCTATACATACAGTTAATGCTACCTCATTCAAAATCTGAAAGTCTGCTTCAGGTTATTGTTGCCCCTTGAAGTGGGCAGGGATCCATCATGAGCAGGACATTCTGCACAGCGATCCAGGTTTAATAGAGTCTTTCCCTAGAAATGTTTCCCAGAAACCAAAGCTTTGGTCCATGGGATCACAAAGAGTCGGACATGACTTACCGTAACTACTAAACAACAACAAAACAGTCCATAAAAACGTAGATGAAATAGAACTTGTTAGGCAACGGACCAGCAAGGCTATCCCTAGGAAGTAACTAAGTATGTCTTTGTCGTTTTAAAAAGCGGAACTCTCCCAATTACCTCCCGATGAACACTAGATGTTGCTCAGGGTATTAAATATTGAATACTTGCTCACAATCTTGAATAGAAGCAGCAATGTATATATGGTGTACCTGAATGTAAGAGACTGAAATAGAAAGTGAGAATGGAGTCTATGTTAGTGAACAGGGGTCTGAGACAGCCTTCTCGAATCTGGTGACCTTCAGGTGTGTGGAACTGTAACTACCATTATCTCTAGCCTGCAGCCCCAATATACCTTCAGCCCAGCACATCTATCTGAAAGACAGGAGGTTAGGAAAAGGTCAGTCTAATCAGCCAAGCCCAAGTATCTTATAAGAATTGTTGAAAAATCACTTTAGCTATCATGCCTTTCAGAATCCAGTGAAAAGACTGGGAATCAGCTGTATTAATAGGCAAAGTGCAATGCACCTATATTATTGTGAGCATTTACAATATTCTAACCAAGTGCCATAAATGTGGAGTGTCTGTTACCACTTGCTGTTCTCTGGTATATATTTGAGATGCAAAAAAGAGTTATCTTCATACATTTAAGAAAGTTATTGGTACTTGTTAGTATATTATAAAGTTGCTCACGTATTAGAAATTTTAGCTAACAAGTGTACATATTAAAAATATAGGAAAACCAAGCAGAATTTGTCTCATGATTGCAATAATATTTTAGCAAAATAGCCTTTGGTCACCTCTTTTTGGATTTTGTAAATTCCCAGTAAAGGCTAACAAGGACCAAGCCCTGCCAACCTGTGTTGCTAGCTGCCTGGAGCTGTACGCTAGCAGGCAGGGATAAAGAGAAACAACATTAGGGCTTTTCTAAACACTCATGTATGTATGTATGCAGTAATAACATTCCCACCTGGGTTTTTCTCTGTAACCTTTAGATATAGCAAGGAATGTGGAACTGCATGAGATGCACAGCACTGGCAACGAACCTCCTTTACTGCTAATGATTGGCTACAGTGATGGGATTCAGATATGGAGTATACCTGTAAGTAACTCCCTTAGTATGAGATTGTGCATATTCTTCAGGCAATCCTGATTCTGTCTGGTAGTATTTTGTAGCGTGTTGAGAGGTGTGGGATCAGACATCTGAGAATCAGACGAAGAGTTCTGTGGTAGAAAGTGTACAGAACTTTGACGATACCCTGAACTGAAACTAAGATCTTTTCTGTTTATTGCCATTGGATGGCCACTGAGAAGGCCCTGTGCCATCCAATAGCAATAAAGCACAGGACCTTCCTAGTGGCTACTAAGCACAGGGCCTTCCCAGCAAATGCCACTGGGGCAGTAGAATGACCTCTCCATACAGATCTGCCTAGCACCATCTTTATGATTTTGTCGTTGTTGTTGCCAGGTGAAAACCTTATTATATCAGTATAGTGTAATGGTTAGAGCAGTGATATGTGACTTGGTTAAGCCAGATTCAAATCTCTACTGACCCATGCCTTTAGGCTAGTCATGCTTGTTCAGACTCACCTAGAGCACAAGGTTGTTGTAATGAAGACAACAAAGCGGTGAGGCGACAAGCCATGGACACTACTTGAGCTGATTGGAGCTGGTTCCATTTATTGTAAGGAATTAAACACACCACACAGAGAGAGTGTGTGTGTTTAAAAACATTATTTAAATTTTTACCCCAACCATCTAGTGATCAGGTCACTACTCTGGGCAGATTACAACATCACAACATAGACATAAAATAAAATCCAATAATAATCAAATTAAATCATCAAACAATATGAAAACGAAATCTAAGCTAGCTGTATATAAAAAATAGTTGAAACAAAAGATGGTGGCAGAACAGAGATAATTATTTAAAAAATAATGGAATATCAGTAGAAAACAACATTAATCCAGGGTAAGGCTGTGGAAAGCCTGCGTGAACAGCCAGATCTTAACTCATTTCTGGAGCTAGGATGGAAGGGGAATATATTTGTGTGATGTGTAAGACATGGAGAGAGACAGTCTACTGAAGAAGCTCAGTCTGTTTTATTACCAAGTCTGTGGTATGAAGCAGGGGTGCATGTCTCTAATACTGGGCTAGTCTGACATGTTTCCTTAGTGACAGGAAAGAAGCACCCAAAAAACATTTGCTCTCCTTGTTTATTTGTATTGTAAACAAAGAAGGGTCTCTGTCTTTCTTCCCACTCCCTTTTAAAGGACTGTGCTGCTGCAAATCATTTCTGTCTGTGAGCATTAGGTGTCGCTAATATACTGAGTTAAAAACCAGCTTGGCTCTCTCAGTGTCTGGAGCAGCGGAAAGACGGTTAGGAACAAAGAAGTGGGTAGACAGAAAGGATATTCCAGATCTTGTTTCATGAGTTGGCGCCCAAGTAAAAGCAGCTGATTTTCATTCTTTCTGCCTTCAGAGGATCCTTTATGTGTGACTCGCCTGCTGAAGAATGCTGGCATATTTTGGGAGAGAGGTGTGTGCGCTCTGTTCGTACAGGACATGGAGGATGCAGGGCTGTGCTCAGTACAGACTGACACCACCCGAAACAACCCAACCCCCTGATTCCTAGACAGTCTGTGTTCTTCATGGAAGTTTGCACGTTGTGTCTGAGCTTCTCAGAGGATGCCATCCTCCAGTAATCAAGGAGGCCCAGATCTCACTGGAACTCAGTGTGAAATGGAAAGGGAAATGTTGAACTGTCCAGATGTTTTGTCTTATGACTTGCATGAGCCCCAACCATTACGGTCATAATAAGGAACTAGAGGGTCTAAAGTTATCCCCAACTGTTTTTTAAAGGTACTTCCTTAAAGCAAAGAGTTCCATAGGCTGCCTTCCTCACGCACTTCTGCATATCAGTTAGTTTGCAGAAAAACACAAGCCGCCTTGAGTCTCAGTCCCAGGTGAAGGACAGGATACAAGTGAAACAAGTGCCCACAGATTGCAGAAGTTTTTTGGAGTGTGTTTCAGGCACTGGCTCAGTTTCCAAAGTGCATGGGCCCAGCCTGCTTGTCCATTGTGACCGACGGATCCTTAGAAAGCCTTACTGCTCCCGAGAATCTAATTTGAAAGCCAAATTTTAGTCTCTCACACCCACTACAGTGTGATACATACCTAAAGTAATGCACAAGGATATTGCATTATCTTATCTGTCCTCTGGAATAATGTGGCGCTGCCTCATTTTAAAATCTGTGTTTAGAAGTTTGCCCTTTCCACTCCTTAAAAAAAAAAGCCCTAGAGCTCCAGTCGTTTCACACAGTGCACAAAGCTGCACACTGAAACTAACTTTTATCTGAAGTGCTGTGCTTTCATCCTCTGTTCAGCCGGACACCTATTCAGCACTTAATAAACTAATGTGCTCCAGGCAAACTGGTTTGTGTCTGAGTGATTATGAAGTGTTTATGACAGTTCCTAAGCCAACACCCTCCATAATGGTGTTACACAGGGTTTGGAAACACTTCTCGGACCTTCCTTTCTGATGGTGTCTCTCTCTCTCCAGTCTGAGAAGTTTTGCATTAAATCCCCTCAGAGTAAGATCTTTTGACTACCAAAGTGTTACTTGCAAATGGAATATCCCATTTAGATTTGCTTCAAAGGTCTCCTGTAACAGTTGGGCCAAAGTAACAGCTCAAAAGATATGTTTTTTTTAAAGTGTGGCATATTAATCTGTGATGCCCAAGAGGAAGCAGTTTTTTTTCCCCAGCTTCTTTTTTGTTTTCTTTCCAAGAAAAAGTGTGTGTCTGGGGGGGAGAAGGTTAAAAGCTGTTTTAAAAAAGAGAGAAGAAAGAAATAAAATTGCCTGTTTGTGGAATGTAATCAAACAAGAGTCGTAAGGTATGATTGGTGAGTTGGGTAATGTGAGATTTTATTGGAATTAGAACTTCATCTTCCTCCTCTTCGCTCCCCCTTATCTCATATTTGGAAGTTCACATCATGACCAGAAAACATTTGGAACTAGTTTATCTTGCACATTAGAGAGGTGTGTGTCCGTGTGTGTGTGGTGAAACTATTACTGTTATTTTTCCGATTTCATCTGTATCAAAGAAGTTACGAAATGCCGTGTCTGCATGAAAAGCTCACCCACATTGTTTGAGAGAAGAAGTTCTGCTAAATTTTAGAGAAATGGGAAGACTTGCTACTTTTTTAGGAAGGCTGTTGAAAACAGAGCTGAGGACTTGTGTTGATGTACTGCCCAGTGTCATATTCTACATGACAATGCTGGAGGGATATTTTGTGCTAAATTGCGTGTTATGCTTCAGTATACAGTATACAGTACAGTATATATAGCATAGACCCAGGGTTTGGGCCCAAAACAGCACCCGACTGGTAGGGTAACTGCAGAAGTGAAATTTGATTTGGAAAATGGAGATCATGCAGTAATTAAGAGTTAATTGACATAATGATACTGTATATTCTTGCAGAAAGTGGGAGGTGATTCCCTCCCAGAAGGTGGTCTACTGGGTGAAGCAGAATCATGCTACAATCCCACTATTACCTCTGCACCGAGCACGAGTTATTCATTCTTTTCAATGTCTCTGAAGAAAGTTTAAGAAAACAAATGTGTTGTCATTGTCTTGCTTTAGTAAATTAAACAATATTAAAATTGGGAACTGGTTTAGCCAATTCATCAGCTGCTCAAAAGAAGAAGCCACTACTGTTTGTCGACTCAGTTGAAGGTTGCCAAATTTCAAGACTTTGTGGAGACTCCTCCAATTTTCAGTGGTGCCTTTCAAACCCTGTCTGCCAAAATAATGAATATCTCTTCTCTTATTTAGACAATTAAAGTGTTTCTCCGGCCTTCCCACCCTGCTGTTCAGCCCATTCACATTGAGATAAATTCCCCTGGTGTTGCTACAGAAGAGGGCACCTTTCAGCTCATTGCCTAATGTTAAAACAATTTTTCACTATACAGTGGTGCCCCGCTAGATGCTTACCCCGCATGATGTCGAAATCGTTTGACGATGACATTTTTTCCATCGCTATTGCGATCACAAAAACGATGGTTCCAATGGGGGAAATCTGCATTACGTTGATTAGGAGCCTGCTTCGTGAACTGTTTGTTCACTAAACAATGATTTTTCTGGTTCCGCAAAATGGCTTCCCTCCCTCCGCAAAATGGCTGCTTTCCGGACCCCTGCTTTGGAAGACAATGATTCTAAACAGCTGATTGGCTCTATGGGCAATCTTTGGTGGATGATGAGGTATTTCCCCATTGGAACGCATTGACAAGTTTTCAATGCATTCCAATGGGTTGTTTTTTTTTGCTTGACGATGATTTTGCTTAACAGCGATTTCAGGGGAACGGATTTTCATCGTCAAGATGGGGAATCAGAAAAATGGATGAAGATACTGGAGAGTGAGAGCACAGTCTTTTTTTTTCCCCTTCTCCATCTGTTACAAAAATATGTTTCTTTCCCCCTCCTCATATGAAAGTTATTTTCTATGGTTGGAAAATATTTGTTCGCACAGCAAGAGAAATGGGATGCCTTTTGTTTTGTTTGTTATGGATTTGAGCTGGTATGCTCCCAGACAACAAAGTCTGTCATCAAGAATTAAGACAGTGATTCAGATATATCCTTGAAGTTTTTTTTCCTTTTTTCCTTCCTTCCTTTTAAAAGCACTGGCCACGGGTGTGAAAGGCACCGATGGCATACCTTCAGTTCCTCAGTCTTTCCCCCCTTCTCACAGATGGGGTAGGGGTTTACTGCTGTACTTGGATCTGGTATGTAAGCTTCTTGCACTTCAGATGTAGGACTCAAGCTGAACAGCCTAGATTTTAGTCCTCTTCCAGCCAAACTTGTCAAGTCCCCTGCCTACGGTTGCGGCTGTCGATCTGTCCTTTGGTGGGAAGAAACACCTGAGGCTGCTTTTAAGCCTCATATTCTATTCTTGAAACCTGTCTCAAAAATGCCTGTGGCTTTTTGAAAGGCCAAAGGGAAAGGTGAAGGAACTTAGAATTGCCAGAGAATTTCCATAAGGGAATGGTTGTGTAGCTGGAATGTGTCTAGAGTGATAGCCATGAACAGGTTTTTCTGCAGGTGCCTTTTGAACAATTCAAAGCTTCCTTCCCTCCATCTCCTCCCCACAAGCCCTTTTAACATCTATATTTTAGCTCCATTTGGGAGGCACTGAAGAAGCTAGCTTGCTTGGGGATTAGGGATATAATAGACATCTCCTGTCTTCTCTTCATGTCTGAAAGTACAGTATCAAGCTTTACTCAATGGAAGAGATACTGTTTTCCATGGAGAAGGGTTGCAACTCAGACATTGTCATCTACAGCTAAAAGGATCAGTTTTTTTGGGTGTTGGTGCTGGGAAATAACCGTTTTTTACCATTTTCTGAAGGATGATACTGAGCTTGATGGGCAAATGGTTCAAACATATATAAAGTGCTTCCTGTTTATGATTTAGGGGTTGGAATGGTTGTTCATTAATAGGGCATCTGATTTGCATGTGGGAAGTGCGCAGTGCAGTTCCTGACATCTCAATTTAAAACAAATGGAGCAATATTAGCCCTCCAGGCTTTGGGCCTGAATTCTAGCCACACCTATCTAGATTGGGCAATGCCAGAGAGTATGCTTTGTATGTGAAAGCAAAATTTGGAGGTGGAAATATTTGTTGCCCATTGCAAAAAAAAAATTCTTTTTAAAAAAGGACCATCAACCAGCATAGTCCAATCGGAGAAATTATGGGGCCTGCAGTCTAAAACTGTCATGGGAATTGCCTACCTCTGGGTTACATGGAGGAGAAGTAATGTCTGCATTGCGTCACAGAGATTTCTAAGGGCTACTGATTTACTGACATAATTAAAGGTGCAATCACAGATATAAGACAATGTAAGACCATAAGATGGTTGTTGTGGGTTTTTCGGGCTCTTTGGCCATGTTCTGAAGGTGGTTCTTCCTAATGTTTCGCCAGTCTCTGTGGCCGGCATCTTCAGAAGACAGCACTATGTCCTCTGAAGATGCCGGCCGCAGAGACTGGCAAAACGTTAGGAAGAACAACCTTCAGAACACGGCCAAAGAACCCCAAAAACCCCCAACAAGCAGTAGATCCTGGCCGTGAAAGCCTTCGCGAATACATTAAGACTATAAGACTTTGATATTTTTAAGACCATAGAACATCTATATCAAACTGCTGGATTGTGTTGTATCATCCTGGATTTATAACTAAAGCTATAAGAAATGAGTGGAAAGACAAAACAGTGGCAACAGTTTTGAGAAGTTAACTTAGAAGTATGGCTTAATATTTCTGGATTTGTAAACACTTTGTTTTAGCTTATGTTTCTAATGCGATAAGTTGCTATTTCCCCAACTTCTATATGTCAGCATATTGGTTTTAAAAACATCAGTCTTATTACATCTGTTTTAGAGTTCTCAGCAATTTGACACACTACTTCAGAATGTTTGCTGGTTTCCCAGAAGTTTTATGTTCTGCATCACATCCATTACAAACAGTTTTGAAAATGCATTGTGATGAGTTGTTTGCAGAAAGTCTGGAAAATATTTATTGACCATTTATGTTACTCTGTTGCAGCAGAAAGTTACATACAGTCTTGTAGCATCTTAAAGACTAACAAATGTACTGTATTGTAGTCTGAAATCCTGTTATTACGCATAGTATAGGCTGCACTATAATTAGCCTGTTGAATCAGTGGGTATTTGGTAAACCCATTCCTTCATAAGTTCCACTGATAGAAATGGGCCTTTTCTAGTTGAGACCTGTTTAAATAAGACACAACTAGAGTAGGTCCATTTAAATCCATTACAGAGGCCTTGATTCACCAAATCCTCACTCATTTGATGGGACCTTCTCTGGTGCAAAATATTCTGCTAAGCAAGAGGATTTCAGCCATAATATAACTGTTTGTGGACTGTAGTTTATAGTCTTGATTCTGCTGATGATCAATGTTTACCGCTGGGCTTACAAACCTACTTAGTAAGGGTGTGCACCTTTGATTTCACTAAAGATTTCACTAAAATGGGTGCGCTTCTTTATTTTCTCATGCAGATCAGCGGGGAGGCTCAAGAACTCTACTCGGTTAGACACGGCCCAATCCGAGCTGCGCGGATCCTGCCGTCTCCGCAGATCAGTAAGTGCAGAATTCTATGTATTAACACACATAACTTTTTGTGCTGTGACCGCCAACAATCATGGTTGAAAATACAGTTGTTCCTTCCTTCAGATTTTCACACAGGCTTAGGGTGGAATCAGATGAAGACAGCCTTATTATTTCAGTCATGTGTGTAGCTTATTCAGGGGTGAGGTCTGCTGTTTCTTAACGCCTAGAGGTGTAAGCCGTTCTGCCCTTCCCCATCTTACCTTTCAGTCAAGTTCATTTTGGTAAGAAAACCAATTTCTGCATTGACTTTGGGGTGGTGAGGGAGGAAAATGGAAAGTGTGTTGTTCATTGTGCCTATACAGCCCCTTTGTTGCTAAAGTTAGCTGTCCCTCACCCAGCGTGGTGATCCATAGTCTGAACATGAACCCTATCCTCCATCGAACAAATAACAGTCCAGTCACTGTGTAAATAGAACAGGCATGGAATTACAGAAACATGGCTCCTGCTGTTGTTACTAGCTTGGCTGTCAAGGTCAGCTAACCTTAAACCAGACCAAAGCTCTTCTATTCTTGATTCAGAAAATACCAAGTTAAAGGGGGAATGAAGGGGAGGAGTTGGTTAGACACAAACCAATCCGAGCTGGTTTAGGATTATTGGGAGATCTGAAATAAGTTGGATGCCATATTTTTGTGATTTTCAAACCACACCCCCAAATTTTTGTTACTTGTAAGTGCATGATGTCCACAGTTAAATTGGTAAAACAGATCAGAATCTCCTAATCTTCGCTGTGACCATAGTGGAAGCAAAAGGGAAATTGATTCTCAGAGATTTGGTTAAATTTATGATAAACTGACAGGCAGGTTAAATTTATGATAAATTGGTGGACAGGAGAAGAGTGTCCAGAGTTACTGTTAGCATGCCAAAAGCTCAGATAAATAATCTGTGGCAGGTCAGGTTGGAAATGGAATATCAATGTAAGATTGGAGAGAGAATGAATTCCAGTTGTTGTGGAAACTCTGTGTCCCACCTGTGATATAAAAAAACTGGTTGGGAACAACTGAACAAATGAACCAGTGGCCTAGTTCAATAAGAGGCATTCATGTGTTTGCATACATAAGGCAGTTTAGGCCAGTGTTTAGGCTGAGATAGGGCTGGAAAGAGTAGCCTGTTTCCTCTTACAGGAAGGTGCTCTAATATAGTGATATATGCAAAACATGTTGTTTGCATACAGAAAGTCCCAAGTTCAGTCCAAGGCATTGCCAGTCAAAATAATTTCATAGAGTAGTTGATGTGAAAAGCCACCTCTCTGCCTGTGACCCTGGTGTTATTCTGCCACTCAGAGCAGGCAAGACAGAAGCAGACAAACTTGACTTGCAGTTAAATGGCTTCTGACACCTATAAACTATCAAAATATTTTCTGCAATGAAGCAATTAAATTTATTGAGTGCCAAAGACATGAGGTTATGCTTCTTCCTTTTCTTCATCTTAAAAAGACTGAAATTTGTGTGTATGCTTCTGTGGCTTTACAGGTGTACTTTGGAAATAAGAATTTCCTGTTGGATGCAAAATCTGTATCCTGGGAATCTCACCTTTAATTCAAAATCAGGTTTCTAGCCCTTATGGTAACAGCAAAGAGCTAGGGAATTAATTGCAACTTTGTATTGTCAAACCATTTATGGATGGTTTTAATATTCCATTGCTGTAATGAGAGAATAATTTAAATCGCTTTATGCTAAAGTAATTGAAGATTTTTTTTTACCTGTGAGTAAGTCCCACTGATCTGAGTGTGTTTACTTCTGATTAAGTTTGCATTGGTTTTACTTTGTAAATTATTATTTTTGAAAATATATTTCAGTTTCTCTTTACACCGCTCGGTAGAAAGTATATAATCTTTGATTAAAAGCAACCAGATGCGTTATTGAGTGGGATCTGGAATCAGATGAAAGTCAAGCTTGTAATAGGAGGTCTTGGATAGCCAGCGTATGGAGCCAGGATCAGGAGAGGAATAAAAGAGGTTTTTGTAACGAAAAAGCCGATAGCCATCAGTGGTGCTGAAACAGCCTTTTACTGGGAAGCTATTTTAAAAAAGTACCCTTCGATGTGGGGGCTGCCAGTGGATAGATTTGGCGTGTTCCTCGAAAGAGATCATAGCCTGAGATAAGCAACTCATTCCCAGGTGTGAAAAGAAAAGCTCCGGCTTTTAGCTCAGTGGCTGTTTCAACATCATAGCTTAATAGTTTGTCAGCTATGTTGCTAAAGCCCTGTAATCCTTTTGATGTCAGTCCTCTTAGCCGAATCACACTCTTGGAAACATAAAGCAAGCTCTGTAGAAGACTTTATTTTGTGCCTGGGCTTTACCAAAGATATTTCACTGTTATCTGATAGAGCAAGTCTTATAACATGTGCCTCTGTGTGTTTCCATGGATTTAAAAACATAAGAAGAGCCATGCCGGATCAGACCAGAGATTTGTCTGGTCCAGCAACTCAATAAAGGCCTCTAAGGAGTTCCCAAATGGGATATAAGCCCAGTAACACCATTTTACTCGTATTCTTCAGCCACTGGAATCCAAAGACATGTTTCCATGAAAACTCATTGAAAGTCAATGCAAGTCAACCACCCCCCCCCGAAAGCACTAATATAAGTGAGACCAGACTTTCCTCACTTGGATGATGAGAAAAAAATACTGATAAATCAGTGCAAAACTTGGCCCTTCTCTCTGAACAGATGCTTTGTCTGGATAAGCCCTGATCAAAATATTTTCCCATCCATTTTCTCCACACAATTCATAATAGTCGCGTCTCTCATTACTTACTTTGTTTATAAAGCTAAACAAGTCCAAATGTTGTAACCATTTGTCATCACAGCGGAGTTGCTCCATCACCTTGAATACATGGGTTGCCTTTTTCCGCACCTTTGAAGATCTGGCTAACAGTCTGGTTCTCTGCCTTCCAGACTTCGCAGCAACAGGATCGTATTCCCGTTGGTTTCTTTGTGATGGGAAGTTTTTACATCTGCTTTGGAACTGCCCACTGTAGAGGTTTCTGGGAAGTATTATGTGTAAAGTTATGCAAATGTAATATGTAGGTTCACTGCTAGACCAAGGATGCTTCCACGTAGAGGAGTCCTAATATAATCCATCCGAAAGCAATATGCAATTTTTCTGCCTTTTCCTCTTTGAAATATTTTAGTGGGGAGGAAATAAAACAGATTGATGATGTGGTAGGAAGAAGAGCATGTCTGGTCCCCTGAAAAATGCCATAAACATGGTTTGAATGCACAACAAAAAAATTATGTGGAAGCTGCCTAAAAGTCGTAGAGTTAAGTAAGACTTCCTTAACTGTAGGTGGGATAAGCCTGAAACCTTGATAACTCTGGTCTACCTAGTTTTTGACTCTTAGGTCAAACTGCAAATTTTCCCATCCTGCTAAAAACTCTCCGACCTCTTATAAAACTGCAAAATCTTTTGTGTCTATGAAAACTGGGAAGAGAAATTGCCTTGCACTGACTCCTCCAGCTCAAAATAAAGATATGAACTGAAATGTCTCACATGGCCTTGGATTAAATTCCAAGTTATACAGCATTTTGTATTGCTCACATCTGTGACATGTTTTTTTTTTTTAGGCAACCTCAAGGGCTGACTTAGCGTGTTTCTCTGTGTTAAATAAAGCAATAATAATAATTTAGGTTGCTCTGTAAAGGAAGGCAGATGTTAAAATGCTTGTATGTGGTCAGACATCTTGGGTGGCTGTAGGTTTTTCCAGTCCCTTAATACAAAAGTAATTCTTTAGCAGATGTACTTCATAAACGTAACTTGGTAGGTGACTCAGTGGTAGCAGCGTTTAGGTGGCCTAAGATGACTAGGTAGCTTATTAGACACTATCACTTAAGTGATGTGTTTCAGGTTTGACCAATAGAACAGTGAAAATGTTCTACGTAGACCCTGAAGACAAATTACCGAATGTAATTCTTGCATGTTGGAACTTTTTTTAGAGCAATATATTAAAATGTGGGCAAAGGTTCTAATGAAATCCATATTTGAAACTCTTCCTTTACTGGCGTGCTTCATTCTGGGATTGATCTTTTATATATTGTTAAATATATAATCTTGGTTGCTCAGCAGTAACCACAATAGAACCACGCGTTTTCTGCTTCACCTGCTCTTAAGCTTCGTCTTGGAAACCTTTGGCTGTGTTAAGAAGTTACAAACTGCAGTCATAGTAATTTTATCCTCTTATTCTAGAATTTGGGGCCCCATCTTGACAGGGACAGCTTAGAAATTTTATTGCCTAATGTAAAAATTACCCAGTTTATTAATAAGTGCAGAGCGATAAAGTCAATGGCTCCAATAATGTTAATGTCTTATACATAATTTTCTTAAAAATAGTACATGGTAGAGTAAGTGCAGAAAAGGCATCAGGTATACACTGTTTGAGTTCAAAGAGGGATTTGGAACCAGGGAAGCATTATTCTTCATCTATATACTTCTGGAGAAATGTCACAACAGAAATATGGAAATGTACTGTATTCTTGGATCCTCTTGAGGAGAATATATCCTCTATGTAGAAACCCACCTTTCTCCTCAAGAGGATACATTTCCATATTTGTGTTGTGACACTTGTCCTGAAGTACATATATGAAGAAAAATGCTTCCCTGGTACTTAAACCGTTTTTTTTTGGAACCAATTAAAAACGTTATGCGAGGCATTACTGTATATTAAAATATAGCTGGATAGCTCAGTGGGTTCAGTATCTGTCTTTAGAACCACAGGTTGGGAGTTCAGTTCCCCACTCTGCCTCCTTGACAGGGATCCCTTCCAGCTCTGCAGTTCTAAGATGATGATGTTGGTGATGATTATTGCATAAACAATACATACATTTGCTTTATTGTGTGAAAGAAAAACTTTGACAGCAAGCTGATGGGGGACGTTAGTAAACAGAGTCCAAAACCCTATTGCCTTGTCATGCTAGCAGTGCACAAAGGGCGCAACCGTTGGAAGTAAACTGCCTCAAATTAAGGAAGCGCTGTAGACTCTCTCTCTTACATACAGAGCAGCATGACTCAGTGTGTGACTTGAGGCCATTTGCCTCCAAAAGCTACATGATTTGTGTAGCTGTGCAAGAGGATTTTGACAAAAGGTCTTGATTCAAGAGACCTTTTGTCAACAGATGTTTGCATAATTGTTAATATAATGTGTGTTGGCAACCAAAATTTGTAGTGAAAGAGGAAGGCAAATTACAGGGAAGCCAAAGGTAAAAAAAAATAAAGAGAGAGAGAAGTGTGATAAAGATGCATGCTCCTGTCCCTGCTTTTGAGTCTGCAGTCCAGGGACATGGTGAGAGAAACGCTCACTGACTCGAAGAAGGATACTGTTATCAACAACAAAGTTCTCAACAACATGCAGTATCCAGACAGTACATATTTGTTATTGACAGTGCAATGAGTTTTCAAAGATTACTCTGTTAAGTGTAGATGAAGTAAGCAGTGACGATGATTTTAAAATGAATGTTAAGGAAAATTTAGTTTACGGCAACCAGTAGAAAGCAAGCGGCCCAAGAAATGCAGTGAAAGATCAAAAAGGAAAGTGTGAAAGATGGTGATGAATGTGAGTGCTTTGGAATTGGGTTGAATGGACGGTGTGGTCACAGTCATGCACCGAAAGTCAAAATTTAAATAGTCTGGAATGACTTCCTTTAAGTGAGCGATTTAATATGGAAGGAAAAAAAATTCTAATTCTCTTTGAGAATCTGTTTTATACAGTGCTGTGTGTTTTTGGTTCTACTATAAGCACAAAATCATGAGCTTTAACCCTAGCAACTACAAAAGAAGATAGAGGCATTTGAAATTTGATTTATCCAAATAGAGTAATTATAATTTAATGCCTTTTCCAGGGTTTTTTTAGGTAGAGAATACTCAAAAGTGGTTTAATATTCCCTTCCTTTTGGGGGATGCCCCAGCACTGTGCAGTTTGCCCAAGACTTCATGGGCAGGCTCTTCTCCTGGGTTTCTGGGAGTTGCAGTTCAAAAACATCAGAGTAACAAAGGTTAAGAACCACTGGCTTAGAGGAACAACCCAGAAGTGCTCTCTTTAGGGTGAAGGGGTTTCTAGCATTTAAATCCAGCAGACTTCTGTAGTCTAGAGGAGTGATGCAGTCTGTTGTACCCCCCAGGCCCCCATCTCATGTGGCTGGACATGAAGGCCAGGCCAGCACCGAGCCAACTGTGTGAAAATGCTCTAAACCATTCTGGGCAACTGTTCCAGTTGTTTTTCCCCCTCTCTATTCCTTAATTGAGAGATGGTTTGGTCTGACAAAGCTTGTGAAATTCCCTGCTGCTTAATGGAAACTTTCATTATGTTTTGTGTTCATTTCTGATGGGTTGAATGATGACAGACCTCCTTTTTTTTTTTAATGATTTCACTAAATGGTATTGCGGAGGAAGTGGCGCCTCATTGGCAGGGGAGACAGTTTTCATTACTTTAATTGTGTGGTTTATCAGGATTTTCAGCTTTTTGGGTTGGGGGGTTGAGGGCAAAGAGTTAAATGCAATAGTGTTATGACAGAATTAAAAGCATTTGGAATGAAACTGAGTTTAAAAGGGGGTGGGGTTAGGGTCTTTGCAACAGGATTTCCATACCTTTTGATTTGATGGATTTGGCAAGCTATGGGCTTAAGGAAAAAATTCCCCACTAATTGCCATTTGGCATCATGTACAACACACTGTACAGGTGCTGGTGTGTCGCAGCAGTGAGTTGCACATATGAAACAAACACGATTTCAGATATTGAAAATAAACCTGTAATCCACTGTAACTTGAAGGGATTAAAATCTCCTCTGTCGCCCACACATATCGCTGGTGCGAGAGGAAGCAGGGCAAGGAATGTCTCTTCTAAGTATTTGCAGAGGCCAGTGCATGCAAAAGGTATTTGTCAAGCCACAGACAGAGCAGCTGTTAGCATCTTCCTGTGTACAGTAAATTCTGCACTTCTAATGAATAGCTTCAGAAGGGTAATTAAAAAAAACCTGTGTGTCTGGAAAATGGTCATGGAAGCTGATCATGTAAAAAGAAGAAAAGGGGGATGTTTTGAACTGAGGGTCTGTTCTCAAATGCTAGTGGAAAACTAGGTTTCAGTCCTAAAGCAAACCAGTTCTTGCTTTATTCTTTCAAAGCTACTGCAGCCCTTTGGACTCGTGTTTTGAGCAAAAATGCCAAGAGAGTGTATGTATGATTGCATGTGTGTACACGTGTGTGCGTATGTTTGTGTACAGATATAATCTGTGATAAAACGTCTGTCCTTATTGTCATGTCAGATCCCTCAGTTCCAGAGGAGGTTAGGCAACTGCCTCAGCCGACGGATGCTGAGGTCAGCAGTGGTCTATGAGCCATTCCCCTCTTGTGCAGGACAGAAGGGTGTTTGCCAAACAGGCTGCTCATGAACTAACTTGCTTTATTTAGGGATGATGGAGGATGCTGTCCTGTTACAGTGTAGAAGGAAAGCTAGCTGACTTTTGTACTCAGAATGCGATGGGAGGCTATTTCATTCTGGCACCAAAAAGTCTCGAACAGACCCTGATTGATCGCCTACTCCAGGGTTCCTGCCAAGCTTGTTTTCCTGTAAGATGTACGGGTCTGTAAAGGGTGCAAACAATTCATATGCCTGACCCCCTACCCCCCAGTATACCATTTTCCCTTTACATTTGGCTCCCCATATTTTTTTGCTGCTATCCTCTTAAGGTAATCTTCATTGACATCTTTTGGAGTTCTCACCTTCCATTGGTGCTGTGATTAATTGATTGATTTTATTCTTGAAAGTTTTAAATCTCTTTCTTGGTTCTCTGTGGCACCTTGGTCTGGCTGCATTTCTGTCGGTACATAGTTCGCTATGAGAAAATGTCTGCTTTGACGTTGATAATTTGCTTAGCCTGTGTTAGGATTTTGCAAAACTGTATTTAAGAAAAAGTACATTTCAGTATACAGTAAAAAATATTTGATGCAACTCTCTTTATGATTAACAGTTTTGATAGAAAATGGGCTGGGAGCGACAATTAGTTGTCCAAGTTTTCTTTTGCTAAGTTTTTTGTTTTTTAAAGAAGAGTTTCTAATGTTGATCATCATTGATATGTATTATGCAAATGTGACTTGGAGTAGGCATCAGTGGCTAAATTGTCTCTGTGAGTCATTAAATGTTGAATAAACCAAGACATAATTGGGAGGAGGAGATTCCATAGATGATTGGTAAACCTTTTAAGTGCACAATTTGTACCCATGCTCTTTAATCTTCTCAAGGACTGCTGAGTGAAAAATCTGTCTATGTGTGTTAATGGTTTTTTCTATTCAGATTATTTCAGATTAATGCATTTTCAAAGTCTATAGTTAAACTGTGAGTTAAGCTTTGTGGGGAATGGATTTTCAGTGATACTTTCAGTTGATCAAATAACCTGGGATTCTAAAGAGAAGCAAATCCTACTATTACCAAGACCCAGTACTTCAATTTTGCAAACAGCAGCATTCATTTTATTTTTCTTAGTTTTCCCTCCATGACTCAACAAGACGTGTCTTCACAAATCACAAGCACACCACAACATTTATGCATTTATTGTACATACCCATGTTTTTCCCAAAGTAGTGTACAAAAATGTTGAAATGTAACATAAAATCTAAAAGATGCAGTGAACAGCCACTGTATCAACATTTAAGACTTTAGAATACGTCGACCTTTCTCTTCTGTTATTGTACAAGGTCAAGCCAATATCAGGCACTTTCATAAAGACAATGGATACCAATCATATCCCTGGGAATGAGTAAAGTATTGGTTACACTGATGCAATCATATTTGTGAACATAGGACCATGAACATAGGTCAAAACCTCATTTTGGTGTTATTTGTATAATAACCAGTGGGTAATACTTCTCATAAATGAATATAATTATATATAGTTATGCAAAAATTGCTTGGTCCTTTTCAGGCATTGTTAATAGTTTCATAACCCATCCAGCCTCTGACATATAATCAGTATCTGTGTACCTGTTCACCCAAGGCCAGTGGACGCCCAAACACTGTTGACTTGTGGGATGGATATTTGTTTTTATTGAACATTGTAAATAGGAATGATTAGTTAATTTGTCTTTGCATTTCTTGCTCTGTTCAGGTCCTCAAAAGTGTGATAACTTTTCTGAGAAGAGACCTCTTCTGGCCGTTTGCAAAAGCATTGGATCTTCTGGGTAAGATGACCAATTTCAGACAGAGGGATGTGTAAGACAGTGGCAACAAAACCAACCAAAACTTCTTTTTGTGTGTGTTGCCTTTTTCCATAAGGTAAAATGTGTAGCCTTTCTTTACATGTTAGCCCTCAAAACAGGAAGTCTGCCTGAGAGAGTGATTGTGACTATTCCACGGTTATCCAGTAATCTCCACGATTGTTCAGAGATTTTAACCTGTGTCTCCCTAGCCTTACTCCAACAATAATCATGCCACCACTGGTTCTCTTTAAAGCTCAACAGTTTATTATGTCATAAGGCTTCAAGAATATGAATCTGCTTCATCAGGTGCATGCATTTTTAAACTTTTTTTTCTAAGAAAATGCTTTAGCAGACATGATTCCAGCAGCTATCTGATGCTTCCTCCCATCCCACAAAATTATGTCCCCCATCATTCAATTTCAGTATACAGTATTTTGTATTCATGTATGTAGCAAAATATTTGCTCCCCTAATGGTAGGAGGTGGTGGCACGACAGCGATCAAGCGTATGTAGCAAAATATTTGCTCCCCTAACAGTAGTCTTTCTGTGGGGTCCCTCCTATATTTAGTAGTTATGAAGTCTCCTTACGGCCCTTCTGACTTCCTACCCCCATTCTAGTTTCTGTTACGGTATAGTGAGTATAGGATAGGACAGTCTGTGTTTTACAGGAAAGTGAAAATTAGTTTACACTTCAAGAGTTGAGTCTGTCTCTGGTTCAGATCAAATGTGTATTTCTTCCTTTTAAAATATTATCCCTCCAAGCATGCAAACCTTTCAGCATTAACATGTCTAATATATCAAACCTGCAAAAAAGCTGTGCTGTTTCTTAATAAAGTTATTGCAAATAAATGAACAAATAATAGCAAGCTATTTTGCCAAATGCTGATAGAGGTGGATGTGCATTACAATAAACAAGTAGTCTTTTTCTCTTAAAAGCACATTCTTTCTAGATACAGAATCAGTGTTTGCTCCAGCAATGGCCTTTGTAGTATGCTCTTTCTGCAGCTTTTCAAATAGGTAGCCCTAAAACAGTGTTTTCAGTTGGATTTAGAGCTGTTTCTGTGTCAGGACCATGGATAAAATTAACTGCAGCTGCCTGTGAGCATATGAGTCATCCAAGGAATTCTGCACCAAGGTAGTCCAAATTCTGTGCCAAGAAAACCTGAAATGTGCCACAATATAAATTATGCAGAGTAAGCATATGTACCTAGTTTATTTTCCTTTGCATGGAATTGAGTCACTTCCACTTATCACAGGGTGGACAAAGTTATAGAGAGCTCTCCAGTACTAAATTTGACCAGTGGGAATGTCGTACAGCCAAACTTCTAGGCTTCCTGAGATTCCAGAAACTATTGCTTGCATTTCCCTCTAGTGTCTCTTTGCCATAAGGATTAGAAATTTGCTCTCTTTTTTTCTTCTTTGAAAAAGAACCTTAAGAACTGGACATGTGTTCTTCAATTTTCATAAATAAGAAAATAAAATAAAGCTGGCCTAGGTTCTGTGCCCAGTATAATGTTCCGTACTTTTCTTGCAATTCTGTGGAATCGCTGCATTGCTACCTCCCTGTCTGTGAAATGGTCTCGTGTGCACATTCTCCTCTTGCTCTCTTGAGACTAGCTTATAAAACAGAGCTAGTGGATGGCGCCTATTATGTATTAACAGTCCCCAGTGTAGGGGACCAGAGAAAGCCTGTTAAAACGTTGTCTTTTAGGATATGTTTATGATTTGCAATGCTATTTACATTGGTGATTATATGCTTGTCAGGATGTTTATAGTCTCTGAAGCCGTCTTTGGTCAAAAGGACTGTTTGTGCTTCTTGGACTCTTGAGTGGTACTTTGCAGTTATTTGTAAAGATTTGTCATTCATTTGCATTTCCTAGCTCTCATCCAACCCATCCACTGAGATAGTACAAGGAGATTCTAGAATTAGGCCCATGGGCAAAATTCTAGGAGAGTGTTTCAAAAATAAATTTCCTTGTGTATATTGTGTTTTTGGGAAGAAGAAGAAGATCTGTGTCACGGAAAGCTGGGCTCTGCCATCAGTCTCATGTATGTGCTTTTTGCTTTGATAATTCTGCTTCCTCTAAAACAGTGGAAAACTATGCTTACATCTTCCTCTAGCTTTGAGATTATTGCAAACTGTTTGGCACCCATGGTTTTAAAAAACATTTTCTTATAACTGTCATTAGGACTTCTCACATGCGTTATATATGTCTCTTTTTTTGAGGGGGGGGAAATGCAGGGTGTAGAAAGTATCTGAGGATGCTAAAACTCTCAGGGTTGGGTCCTTGGACTAGGTTTTCCAGGTTCTTCTGTTTTTATTTTTATTTTTTGTTATTATTTTGCTTTTAGTGGCTTCTTATAGCCAGATCTATTTTGCTGGCAGCATTGGTGAGCTTTCCAGAAAAACCTTTGTTTGCGGTGTCCTGTGCTGTATGCCAAGTTATTATGATAAAAATCTGGAATAGGGACCCGAAGGGAATCAGACTTTCTGTAAAACTGATGGACTTGCCCTGTTTCCCATCCCACCTTCTGCTACAGCTGAATGGAAATAGCTATTACTGAATAGCAGCTGACAGAGGGGAAAGCTGCATATCCACTCCTTATCCATCCTTTGATTAAGGCTTCCTTCTTCACTCGAGTATGACACAGTAGTGCCAAAGGATTCAGACTCCAAATGGTACTTTCCTGTCTTCCCCCCTTACTCAGAACCATGCTTAGCTTCATGATGATGACCTGGAATCCCCCAGGTAGTATGTGTATGTTTTTTCTCAGACCAGAAGACAATCAAAGGCTCTGAGGTTTGGTATTCCTCATAAATAAGTCTTGGACAAAGCTTTCGTAAGAAATTTTGTCAGTGACCTGCAGATTAAGTGTCCCTTGCTGGTCTACAACACATTATAACACTGCTTTCAAGCAAATCCTGCTCTAATACCTGTTACATAAACAGCAGTGGATAGCATGACTGATGTCATGGGCCCCACGATTAAGTGTCCCTTGCTGGTCTACAACACACAACACTGCTTTCAAGAGAATCCTGCTCTAATACCTGTTACATAGACAGCAGTGGACAGCATGACTGATGTCATGGGCCCCTCTTTCTAAGCAGGTTGAGGAGTTTAATCACTTTAAAGAAAGTTGTGGACTTAGATCTGGAAGCAGCACATTGCAAGCTTTTCCAGGTGAGTGCTGCAGATGAAGGAAAAGCCTGCTTCTGTGGATGCCGTCCTTACCACCCATAGCCCACCTGATCATCTCTGTCTCCTCCATTTGGGATGAAGAACTGGGAACCTGAACTACATTGTTGATTCTCTAGAATAGTAGACGCACTGATGGAAAGGGTGCTTTTGTGAGTTAACATCAGACACACTACAGACCACCTGCAGGTTTAATAAATAAAATCCACCCTTTCATTCTGTCCTGCATCTTGTGTGTTTTGCCTTTATAGAGATGGAGTAAGCACACACTGTTTAGATTTCATTTAAAGCACTAGGATTATCTTAAACTGGTGTGGGTCTGTAGTCCTCCAGATGTTCTTGGACTGCAACTCCTATCAGTCCGACCAACACAGGCAATGATCAGAGTTCATAGATGGCCCAGTAACATCTGGAGGGCCACTGCTTCCCCCATGCCTGTTCTGTGGGCTAAGCATATTAATAATAAGTGGGAAAATAACAAGTAGTCTTTAAATTTGTGTCTTGACTATTGTGTCTTGGCAGTGGTTTTTTAAAAGTTTTTTCAAGGTTTTCTCTTCCCAGTTATCCTTGTAAACCTAGACTCCAAGTTGTGACTTGTGGGGGTGTAAGGCAAATAGCCAGACAGTATTGAAGTAGACTCATAATAAATTTTTTGGGGCTATACATGGTTGACTTTTCCTTGTGTGTGCTCTATTTCTGGGGGTGGACACATGAAACTGTGGATGCTTCTCAAGTCTGGGGAAATGGTTTCTCATTTAACTTAGGATAATTCCATGCACATTCCTGTTTGTTATGTGAGGGGTTTTTATTTACAAACACATCCACAGAACTGTGTAACCATTTCTTACAGTTCCAGGAACAGCTGCTGAAGCTTTCTGTTCTCAATGTGCCTTTGATAGATATCAAAAGGCCAATGTTTTGTTGAAGGATGATGTTCTCATAGTAAACACCCTATGCAACATGTCATCCAGCAAACATAACACAGCTCATCAGCCCCAGAATGTGGGCCAGTATAAGGGGCTTGATAAACCTTTCCTTATCCTCCTTATTCTGCTAACAGCTTTCAGAATAAGGCCGTTCTACTTCAGGTAACTTCAAGGAAGGGGAATGACTTAGTGGAAGAGCATATGCTCTGTCTGCAGAAGGTCTTATGTTTCAACCCTGACATTGCCAATGAAAGAGTTAAATAGTGGGTGATGATGGGTGGAAGGCAGTAGGAGAGGAATATATCCATTTGGGAGTATTAGTGGCACTGTGCAGCTGTGGGAGTGTGTCCTGAACTCTACGCTTCAGTATCAGTCTCCACTGTTTCACCTCCTACTCCACCCGTATCCTAATTCCTCAGGTTTAGCCTAGGTTCCGACCATTTTTCTGCACCAAAACCCAGCTACTAAAATGTGAAAGTTGAACTTGGTGTCTTCCCAAAATAACCTCAGTGTGTGTTTATTATTTGGATCCTAAGGAGGTTTTTCCTGTTTCAGCCCAACTCTCTGCTAAACTGTTGCTGCTGCTATTACCTTGGTTTGTCAAGTGGCTAAGTTGTCTGTGCTTTGTCTTGCAAAGAGTCATTCCAGGGGGCAGCAGCTTCCTCTGTTGTTTTGCTACACATAGTCTATTTGCTGGACATCCTCATTCGTATCATTCTACTGACTACGTGTTTGGGCAAGAAATGATGTTGCATTTGAGAGAGCAGTTTTATCCTCATTTCTGAATTGCCATCTATCAACTCTTGGTAAGTAAGCTGGTCAGCAGCCCGAATGGTGTGAATCACAAGGACCAGGAAGA